GACTGTCTTAAGCCCAACCACCTTTGATTCTTCCCCAGTTCTCCTCTCTCCCTGAAAGTCCTGACTATCCTCTTCTGTATAGCTAATGGCTATTCAGCTCTTTATTAAACCAATCAAAAGGCACCGTAGGCAGAGACACATTTTCACAGTGTCCAAAAATTTATCCCACAACTCCATGAGGCTTTTTTGTTCTTCTTTCAATAGATAGATAATAGCTGTTTATACTTATGAATATAATGTTACTTTTTCAATACATGTGTACATGCATTATAAGCAAATCAGGCTAACCAGCATATCTAGTCACTACCCCAATACTTATCTCTCATTTCTAATGAGAACCCTTAAAATTCTGCTCTGATATTTTGAATGCAAGACTAGGACCATTCTTCCTATCTAACTAGCTTTCTGTTCTCTGGTCACTGTCTCTTCTTTCTCCCACTTACTACCATTATTTTGTGAATTGGCTAATCATAATGTAAAGGATGAGATCACAACTCTTCATAGCTGCTAGGGTAACAAAGACTAGAAGACTTGCCAGAACAAGGGTTGCTGAAGATGAGAAGCAATTGCAGTTCACACATTGTTGATGGAAATGAAAGCAAATGGATCAATGTAAAACCAGATACACTGAATCTGAGAGAAGAGAAAGAGAGGAACAGCCTTGAACTCTTTGGCACAGGTCTTCTGAACCATTAGTATAGACACTAAGATCAACAATTAATGAATGGGACGTCATGAACCTGAGAATCTCCTGTATGGCAAAGCACACCATCATTTGCACAAAGTCATAGCCTACAGAATGGTAAAAGATTTTTATTAGGCACCTATCTGATAAAGGGCTAATATCCAAATTTAAGAAGAACTCAAGAAATTAGATATTAAGGTAGCAATCCAATTAAAAATAGAGGACAGATCTAAACAGAATTCTCAACAAAGAAAACTCAAATGACTGAAAAGCACTTAAAGAAATGTTCAGCATCATTAGCAATTAGGGAAATGCAAACCAAAAATACTTTGAGATTCTACCTTACATCTGTTTGAATGGCTAAGGTCAATAACACAAGTGACAGCTCATGCTGGTGAGGATGTGGAACAAAAAGAACATTCCTTCATTGTTGATAGTGAACTTGTATAGTCACAATAGAGATCAGTGTGGAATTTCCTCAAAAAAATGGGAACTGATCTTCCTCAAGGTTCAGCTGTACCACTCTTGGGTATATACCCAAAGGATGATTCATCTACCACAAAGTGACTTTGTTTAACCATGTTCATCACTGCTCTATTTTTAGTATGCTGAAATAGGAAACAACCTAGATATCCCTCGACAGAGGGAAGGATTAAGAAAATGTGGTACATTTACACAATGGAGAATTACTCAGCCATTAAAAATGACATCATGACATTTGCAGGCAAATGATGGAGCTAGAAAAAATTCATACTGAGTGCAGTCTCACAGACCCAGAATTACAAATGTGGTATATATTTACTTATATGTGACCATTAGCTCTGAAGTCTATGGTAACAAAGCTATAATCCCTAGAAGCATAGAAGGTAGGTATAGAGTAAAGGACTAGATATGGATAGATCTTGATAAGAAAGGGAAATATAATAGATAATTTTGGAGGGATAATAGGTGCCAGAACAGAAAGATAAAGTGGGAAAGAGGAGAGGGTTGAAGGAGAGAATATGGGGACAAACACCTAAAATTTAGGGACATTTGAGTGATAGTGGAAACTAATACAGTAGAAACTTCCTAATATATATATATATATATATATATAATGATGATATAAATGAAATCACCAAATAATGGGGGAGACAGAGTCTAAACTGGGCATCTCTTGTCATCAAATGAAGCTCTCAGTACTGGGATTGGGTTACAATTAATTGAGTTGTTGACCAAAGAGGTAGAGAGAGATAGATGGACAGAGAGCTTAAGAAAAGTAAAATTCTGCAGACTAACTTTAGTTTTTTATACAGTTGATAAGATTTCATACTAATCTATCCTTCAATATCTGATACAGATTCAAAACTGATTTATTTCTTGTGAGTTGGAGATTTTATCATTTCTTCTCTTAGATTCTTCTAAATTCCAGTTAAAGTAGGCTGACCAATCATTATCATTTGTTTTATTCTATAGACCTTTCAGGCTCCCACACAAAAGTTTTAGTTTTGCAACACCCAATATTCCCCACTGACTGAACTGTAAGGCTTATTTTGTTATAGCTCTCTATTTTTTATTTACTTGTAAGGTGAAAATCCACAATCATTACATATACTGCAGGTTGGAGTCACTGATGGTGGTTATATTAAATACTGCTTCCTTCTTCAAATATGTGTCTCCCATTTCCTCCTAGAAAACTGTAAGCTTTTCTAATGCCAGCCAAGGAGAGTGCATTGTGGATCAGGCTTGCAGGATTTGCCTTTGGGACTGTCTCAGCTATCATCCCAAGACCATTTCCTCCTGCAGTGTCATTAGTATCCTACAAATTTTACAGGGACATGAGCCATGACCAAACACTTCTGTGTGTTTTGGTACAGGTATTGAAGTTCTAGCCAGAGAACAGGGTGTGCTTTGTTGAATTCACTGAGGATTTTGTACATCACAAGTTCGCTTTGCTGCCACCACCCTGTTGGATTGGTGCCTCTTATTTTGGGGATATTTCTCATTAGATGCTTAAGAAAGAAGTCATGGGCAGGAATGCAGAAATAAATATTTGAAGAGTGTCAGGAGACAAAGGGCAATGAGAAAATCAAACACTCTGAACACTTGAAACCAAGACAAACCAAACAGAAACTAGAATGTCTTCAAAGTTCCATGAGCTGATGAAACCGATAACAAATGGAATATTCAGAAACCAAATTCCCCTGAATCACACAAAGCATATACTTTAAAAAAATCTGTTTGAAAGCAAACCAAGCATCCAAATGAATATGATCCTGCAAAATCACATCTCAAAATACAATATTGGACTAATGCCAAATCTAAGGAGGAACCAATTCGAAGAAAGGACTCACAAACATCTAAGAAAGGAGGCGAGACTAGATAGCCTGCAGCAGGAGAGCCTTTGTAATGGTGTCTGGTGCCAATTCAGTTGAGTCCTTTGGGAAAAGTGGGCCATTCTTTTGAGGCCCCACATTTGTCATCAGGAAAGACATAGCTCTTTACTCTTAACCCTCAAAGAAAAAAGATGGATTATTCTAGAGCCAAATATGAGTAACAGTGCCCAGGAAAAGATTCAAATTTATCAAAATAGCAAGTCCCAATGTGATTCAAATTCCATGAAATTTTTACAGTAATAGAACAAAGAAAATCATAAATGAAGACATTTTCCAAGTGCATTGGTGGGTGTATTGTTTAGATGAGCTACGGAAAAATGGGGAAATCTTGGCTTCCAGAGGCCTCAGATGCTGTCTGATGACATTCTTGGCCTGGTGATTCCTAGAAGTTAGGGTGTTTGTACATCCAAAGGATTTACTTAGTGTTCACAAAATTGTTAGGTCTCATACAGAGATAAAAATAAGGGTCTATTAAATGGTTAAATATGTTCCCAGGTAATTCGTGTCTGACTTGTAACATCCTAATTTCCACACACCATTGAAGTTCTCATCAGTCTATCAGCTTTTGTAGTTCAATAATCTTTCTAAGAGTTCTTATTCTCAAAGACAAGCTATCGGGAAGACAAAGTTGACACCAGGGATTCATCTTTTCCCTTCTCCTAGGCTGAGGTTCCTTGTGATATTTCAATACTTTGCAGATGATAGTTTTAATAGTCTAACGGTCAAAGGGAGGGCCACATGAAACTCTATTTAGAGTATCTTCACTCTTGCCAGTTCAATTACAGATAGTATTTAACTCTATTGTTAAAATATAGCCATCCATGGGATCAGGTGGGGGAGGGAAGGGCAGAGGGGGAGTGTGTGGGGATAGACAACTGGAATTGGAGGGGGCATTTGGAGGGTAATGTGGAAATCTAGTGAGTGGGAATTTCCTGGAACCTATGAGGTGACCATAGTAAGGACTCCTTGTAATGGAGGACATGGAGCCTGAGATGGCCATCTTCTGTAATGTGTCATGACTTCCAGTGGTGGGAATGGGACATCAACTTAGCCTCACAACCTTCCACCTACACCTTGTCCTGCCTGCAAGATTTTGTGGAGTTATGGTGGCTCAGAGTTTGTGGAAGTGGCCAACCAATGACTAGTCAAACTTGAGACCCACACCAGGAGAGGGATCCCTTGCCTGACACTGCTTAGATGGCCAGGAAATGGGAGCTGGACAGCTCAGAGACCTAAGGAAGAACCAAACTCAACCATCCCCCTCCCACAAAAAAGTCAGTGAAACAATTATTAATGATATTCATAGATTGGTACCTAGCTCAGTAATCATCGAACAGGCTTTCTCCAGCTAATGATGGTGCAGATGCATAGTACCACAGCCAAACTTTAGACAGAGCTTGGAGCAACCTGAGGAAGATGGAGAGGAAGTATTGTCAGAGAAGAGGTGTCGAAGACACCAGGAGAACAAGGCTTACAGAACCAACTACACAGAGCTCATAGAGACTGAAGTGTGATTCTTTTGACTGCTCTCTGGACCCCTTTCCTCTTAAGGGGTTGCCCTATCCAGCCTTGATATGAGGTTTTGCATAGTCTTATTGCATCTTGTTATGCTGTGTTTGATTGCTATCCCTGGGAGGTCTGCTCTTTCCTGAAGGGAAAAAGAGGGGTTACGGATTTGCGGGAGAGATCAGGTGGTGGTGGGGACTAGGAGGAGTGGATGGAGGGGAGGCAGTGGTCAGAATGTATGAATGAATAAAAAGAAAACAGAAAAAATCAGCCATCAATATCACACTTGAAGGGAGAGTTCTGTTGAAATGGCAAACAAACAGCAGTTTTGTTTATACAGATCAAAGTGTACTAAAGGTAGAGGTCCTTCTTTGGACAGTATTTATAAACTCTTGGAGTGTACGCTTTCCAGTGCATTTGTTCAAACTGAGCCAATGGCTCTCTTGACCATCCTGGGGATTTGCCTGTCTTGTTTGATTGTTTTTTTCCTATGGAATCAGCACCATGGCAAAGGGAAACTCCCACCTGGTCCTACTCCTCTTCCAATTGTCGGAAATATTTTGCAAGTGGATATTAAAAATATCAGTGAATCTCTGAGCATGGTAAGCGTGATTAACTTCCTTCCAGTGGTCAGTACAAATAAAATGTGGTCTTAGACTCCATGCAGATGTTATCAGGGGCCAAGAAGAAAACAAAACCCCTGACACTTGAAGTCCCAACTAACTAATTTTGGCCACTTGTTTTAACAGAAGTGTAGGAACAGAAGTACAACAAGGAAAGGTATTTTAATATCACTGCAGCTACTCTGACAGAGAGAAATCCAGAGGCTTTCTTTGTATTGACAGTCTTGAGGTTTTTCACAGGTGGAAAAGTGAAGGCAAGTCTTCAGGAGTTTGCACAGCACAGTCTTCTTTGTCAGTGTTGAGGCATTTTCTGGTTCTTGAGGGCAGAGGAAATTCTCATTTGGTGCTGAGGAAACTGGTTTCATTTTGTGTTCGGGAAGTTGTTATTAAACTGGTCAGGGGCAATCTCCTGGGATTCTGGGTGGGGGACTATGGTACCATGATATAACTGCCTTTTGGGGGGGGTCTCTCCTTAGAGTAAGCTGCCTGCAGAGCTCTGCTGTTCTTGGTGGTTTAGTATAATTATGGACAGCTTCTAGGGCACTGTAGAGGCTCTGTAACAGAACCTGTGAACTTGAAAAGACTTTAATCATGTCAATGGCTTCAACACTGAATTCTCCTTGTCTGGTAGCCCAGCCTATAACTTCTTGCCTGGCTACTGGCCAATCAGTGTTTTATTCATCAACCAATAAGAGAAACATATATGCAGAAGGACATCTCCCATCAGTGAAGAGTGAATGTATGTATGATGTGTATGCATGTAAATGTGTGTGCATATGCATGTTTGAGTGTGGGCATATATGTGAGCATGTGACAGTTAGAAGACAACCTTGAGTGTCTGTCTTGTTTGCCATATTATTTGAAACATTGCCTTTGTCAGTCACTGCTGTGTATGTCAGGCTAGCTAGCTGTGAGCTTCTGGGAATTCTCCTGTGTGTCTCATTTCTTGTTGTCGGAGAGATTGGATTGCATGTGTGTGTGTGATTGTGTCTGGGTTCTATGTGAGCACAGCAAGTGCTTTACACATGGAACCATCTCCCCATCCAAAGAATAAAAGCAAAATGTTTAATGGAAACCCAAGCCAGCTCCTAAATCTGTGCTCTACTGAGAGCTGGGAGGCAATGGGATCCAGGAGGTGATTTGTGACACTGTCAGGAACAGACTAATTGGTGTTCATGTCCCGGCCTGCGTCTTCTTTTAGTATAGCAATTATTCTCTGATGAACTGCAGTGCAGATGGAGCTGTGTTCAGTTACAAAAATCCATTGCTTTATCAATTCTCAAGTGTACATTTTCCTAAGGATTCAGGAATTCTGAGAGCTCTTACTGGATAATGAATCAATGACTGCTCTATAGTTCATCCACCTGGCAACCATTCCCTGAAACTTGAAGGAATGGCCAGAAATCTGTATTTTTCCCTGAAACAGCCAGTCACCAGAGCTCTCGTTGTCCCCGTAGCTGGGTGTTCTAAATTAACTCACGGCTTGGAGCAAATTTTAAAATCTTCCCAAGATTTAATTTCTATTTCTTTAGTAGGTAATGATTCCACCCAGCTTAACTGGCTCTGTTTACATTCAACAGTGATCAATGGTTCCTTGGCTTCAAGCACCATGCTCCGGGCATGAAGCTGATTTTTTCTTTTTTTTTATAGAGAAATAAATGTTTTATTGAAGTAAAAACATAAATTTAATATATTATAACAATAGTATAAAAGATCATGGAGAAATAGTCATAATGGAGAAAAGAGTATAAAATATTTTATATTTTAGATTAGTATTAATCTGAAATTATTGTGCTATAAAATGTTTTATCATTCCTTGAGTCACCACAAAAAATTCACTCAAAAAATTAAAAACACATTGATCAGGAGGTGGCCAGAGTCTATAATCTGAGTGCACAGGAAAGCTGAGGCACAGGACTGTGAATTTGAGACCAGCCATGAAGCTGATTTTAAGGGTGATTGGAATGTATGAAGCCTTGTAGAAGGTACAATGTAGGGGGTAGGCATGTCCATCCTGCTGTGTCCTCACTACTATTAAAACTCAGAGATCTTGGCAGAAGGTATGACATGGAGAATTGATGACAGGAGATGATTATTAGTGTACAAGTAGGATGACTGGTAGAAGAGATGTCTCATACCCAGGAAGAGAAACACATTCTTTATTGTAAGAGGAGGCCAGAAGAGAAATGCAATGCAATTGTAGATTTGATAGAAAAACATAAAAGTAAAATTTGAGCAAGTATGTATCAGTCTCTGTTGCATAGAAGAAGAGTAGTAACAGCAACATTGTCAAGAGCGTAATGGTAATGGCTGTTAAACTGTCATTTCTTTTTAAATTATGACATCTAAAGTCAATGTGTGGATATTAAAATCTCTTCAGTATGAATGAAAATATTTCTCTAACTGATCACCCTGCTCTGTTTCCAGCTAGCAAAAGAATATGGCCCTGTGTTCACTGTGCATCTGGGCATGAAGCCCACAGTGGTGTTGCATGGATACGAAGCATTGAAGGAAGCTCTGATTGATCGGGGAGATGAGTTTTCTGGGAAAATGCAGTCATCCTTACTGAGTAGAGTCAACCAAGGTTTAGGTATGGCTCTTTGTTGGGGTACATCCAGGTCTATACAGGTGGCACTGAAGTTATCTAGGAAACTGAGAAACTGGAAGTATTTATAAGTTCATGAATTATTTTGTAAAAATTACAAAGAATTAAGTATAGCATATGAAAAGCATTTCCTTATGTCATATTGTATAACTTTTGTTCTTATTTGTCATCTTCCCACTGCGCTCTCTCATTCCTGTCTGTTACTGATTCCCTTTTTCTCCCCAATAGACCTACTTCTGTTTTCACACATTGTCCTCCCTTTTTATCTCTGACTCTTAGATCCTTTCTTCTACTCTCATGGTCTTTCTTCTTTCATCTCTCTCTCTCTCTCTCTCTCTCTCTCTCTCTCTCTCTCTCTCTCTCTAGATTCTGTATAACAGAAAATGGCTGTATTTGATTTTAAGAGTCTGGCTTCCTTTACATGAAACATAATTTACAGTTTCATCCATTTCCCTGTGTCTTGGGCTTTCTATTGCTACAGAAAGACCCAAAGCAAGTTGGGGAGGAAAGAATTTATTTGGCCTAGGAACTCAAACAGGACAGGATCCTAATGAGGCAGGACCTGATGCAGAAGCCATGGATGGAGAGGTGCTGCTTACTGTCTTGTTTCTCATGGTTTGCTAAGCCGGAACCACCAGCCCAGGGATGTACCACCTACCATGGGCTGGGCTGGCCCCTAATGATCACTAATTGAGAAAATGCCTTATAGCTGGATCTCATGGAAACATTTCCTCATCTGAGGCTCCTTCCTCTGATGACTCTAGCTTGTGTCAAGTTGAAACACAAAACCACCCAGTACACCCTGAAAATGTGATGTCATTTTCTTAATGTTTGGTTAAATTCTGATTTATATGCATTAGTAGATTTTAGTGGCATTTGGTGTGACAATTCTGTAAACAGATACAGTGCCTACTGATTTACTCACCTTTCCCTTCCCTCTCCTGACCTCTAGTGTTCATTAATGAAATTCGTTGCTTCTAAGGCATCATTAACCCATTTTCAAAATTGATTTAACTTTACATACAATGTCCCCAAGTAGCATTAAGTTTGAACTTCTGACTATGGCATACTCATTGTATATTAGTCAGAAACATAATGATAAAGATACTAACACAGCCGGGCGGTGGCGGCACATGCCTTTAATCCCAGCACTCAGGAGGCAGAGGCAGGCGGATCACTGTGAGTTCAAGGCCGGGCTGGACCGATAGCCTCCAAAACAATACAGAGAAACCCTGTCTCATAAAAACCAAACCAAAAAAAAAAAAGAAAAAAAAAGAAAAAAGAAAATGAAAGCGACAAAATGTATTAGTCACCAGATATTCTGTCTCATGGTCTGAGTATGGATCTCGATGATTTTATGTATATAGTGTGAAGACCAGTGTAGATATGACTTTTCCAGACTTGGGTCCCACCTTTTATCTTTAAAAATTGTAAGGAAATCTCGAATATAGTGGGATGGGAAAAACAGCACAGTCATGCTCTCTCTATAAGAGCCACAGGAACACTCAGTGTTTTGTGTACTGCATTGATAGTGGAAATGGTTTTTTCTTTTAAATTATTTCTGAGATTATAATAATATAATTACATCATGTCTCCCTTTCCATTCCTCCCTATAAACCATCCTCTATACCTCTTCTTGCCATTTTTTTCAAATTCATAGCCTCGTTTTTCAGTAATTGTTATTGTAAATATATCCTAAATGTAACCTGCCAAGTTTGTATAATGTTATGTGTATGTATATTTTCAGGGCTAACCATTTGGTATTGAATAGCCAGTCAATATTCAGAGTTGTGGAATCCAGTTCTAAAGGAAACATCTGCGTCCAAGGTTTAGGGAACATTGTGGAGAGGGGATGGAAAGATTGTAAGAGTCGCAGGTTCAGGGAATTGGTTGTGAGGATATGTTTCTCTCTCTCTCGCTCTCTCTCTTTCTCTCTCTCTTTTGGTTTTTATGAGACAGGGTTTCTCTGTATTGTTTTGGAGGCTGTCAGTCCAGCCTAGCCTTGAACTCACAGAGATCTGCCTGCCTCTGTCTCCCCAGTGCTGGGATTAAAGGCATGAGCCACCACCGCCCGGCTAAGGATGTGTCTCTTAATAGTCTCACCAGAATGACTTCCCAAATATGAGGCAAAAAAGGATGGCAACAATAGACTTAACAAAGTGAAGGGGAAGAAGCCTGTAAGACCTCAATACTACAGGAAACAGAGGAACATTGATATTGGAAGCAATAGTTTCCCCCCAGAAATGATTTCCACCTATTGGAAATGGTTCCTCCAGTCGTTTGGCTCCATCCCCCATCAGAGTTCAGAAGTTTCTCAGGCCACAATGAGACCGCCAAGTTGAAAACATACTTCCACAGTTAACATAACAAATACCATGGTTTCACATAGCACATTGCCAAGTATGGGTTATTGTCTTCTATGGTTGCATGGCTGATTAGGAGCTCTGGCTTTGCTTCCCAAGATTAGGAGAACATATTCTATTACAGGTGCTAACCTAAGAAAGGAGGAGCATGTAATATTCATATTATGGCTTACATTGATCATGTAGCTATTTTCTACTCATTCATAGCGAGAAAGCAGAAATTGAACTGGTAGTTGGAAACCTACTGTGTGTCAGTTATTGTTTTTGAGTCTAGCATAAAACTATCCAGTTTTATAGAGCACTGGGTGCTGGCAAGAGTGACAAGGGAGCTTTTGCTCCTATGCACCACTGTCTAAAAATTCCTTGGCATGGTATTTTTTATTATTTTAATTTTAAATAGCTTGTTTTACATGTCAATCCCAGTTCCCTCTCCCTCCCCTCCTCCTGCATCCCGCCACCCCTCCAGCCTCTCACCCTATCACCATTTCCTTCCACATAGGGGATATCTAGAGTCTGTCATTTCACTCAGGGCAGGGTCCAGGCACTCCCCTAAGAGTCCAGGCTGAGAGAGCATCCCTCTTTGTGCTATGGACACATGATGTCTGTTTGTATTCCAGGGATAAACACTGATCCACTGCTCAGGACCCCATAGGTTGCCCAGGCCTCCTCATTGGCTCTCACACTCAGGGGTTCTGGGTCAGTCCCATGCTGCCCTCCCAGCTGTCCGTCTGGGGTCCAAGAGCTCTCCCCTGTTCAGATCAGCTGTCTCTGCTGGTTTTGCCAGCCCATTCTTTACCAATTTGCTCATCACTCCTCTCTCTCTGTCACTGGGTTTCATGGGTTCAGTTCAGTGTTTAACTGTGGGTGTTTGCCTCTCCTTCCATCAGTCACTGGATGAAGGCTCCAGGATGGTTATGGACATCAAGTTCATTATCAGGAATGGGCATTCGAGGTGGTCTCTCCACTATTGCTTAGCTTGCCAATTGGTGTCATCCCTTTAGATCACTCGAGGTCACTCTGGTGCCTGATCTGTCTTCTATCCTATGATTCCCTCTTCCCCCTATTCTAACCCCCACTCAACCTTCCTGTTCCCCGATGACCTACTCTCTCTTCCTCTTCTCCCCCTCTCTTCTTCCCAGCTCCCACTTCCCCCGCACACCTCACTGGGATATTTTTTTAATGGGCTAATCTTGACCATATTTTGAGTTTAGAGAAATTGTGCTGAACTTTCTAGATCATGCAATTAATGCAGTAATTTAAGCAAGCACAAGAGTCAGCATTATTTCCTGTGAAGAACATTCTAAACTAGAATTCATGATAAATTTTTGTCCCAACAGGCATTATTTTCAGCAATGGAGAAACGTGGAAGCAAACACAGCGTTTCTCCCTCATGGCCTTACGGTCTATGGGGATGGGGAAGAAAACTATAGAAGACCGAATTCAGGAGGAAGTCCTTCATCTCTTGGAAGCACTGAGGAAAACAAATGGTGTATATCTACTTCTATAATTGCAAGATGAACTGTTATGGCACATAGACTTTTTATAAAGGTCATGGAGTCAGAAGTATAACTGTTTCCTCCCCCTGGCCACTGGTCTCTTCCTTAAACCTCCTAGGCTTCTCTTCCTTTGGGCAGATCTACTTCTTCAGCTTCCACAAGCCTAAGTCCATCTGGGTCACAGGTCACTCTTGTAGCTTATTGAAATTCCCTCCAATGGAATTTCATTTTTTTTATACGCTCTTTACTCCAGGCACTACAAACAGCTTGGCCCCAGTGCAGATCAATGGCCAAAGAATAGCTTAATTTTCAAATTGTCCAATTTGGCAACAACTTCTATCACTGCACAAACAAATGATCCCAAATCTCTTCTATCTAAACTTTCCCTGCTCTACCCTTCACAAAGTCTCTCATCTGTCGGGTCCTTCTACTTCCCATGGGTAATATTTGCTACAACTTCCTGTTTATGTGAGTCAACTCTTGTTTAAAATGCTGTATATGTAGCCAAATTCAACTCTTGTTTAAAAATACATCTAAAAAATAGATCTTTAAAATGTAGCCATAAGGCTGGCAGCCATTGTTACTAAGGTTAAAAGGTACATGCCATGTGTCTTCACCACCATTTTGATTAGATGACCACATGGTATAAACCAAGTAAGGAAACACTTACAAAGCTCCTCAGTCCCACTGAGCTCATAGCTTTTCACTGAATATCTTTTAGACTAAGGAAGTAATAGCAATTCTCCAAAATAGTTTGTATTAGGGTAGGTTTTTTGTTTGTTTGTTTGTATTGTTTTGTTTTTCTTTTTAAAATTTAAATTAGAAACATGCATGCTTCAAATGTTAATCTCAGCTCCCCCCCTTCTCCCTCTACCAGCCCCACCCCAAGCCCCCCACCCCAGCCCAATCCCCACATCATTCCCTAGGAAGGGTGAGGCCCTCCTTGGGGGGGATCTCAGAGTCTGTCATTTCATCCAGGGCAGGACCTAGGCCCTTCCCCATGTGTCCAGGCTGAGAGAGCATCCCTCCATGTGGAGTGGGCTCCCAAAATTCATTCATACGCCATGATGAACACTAATCTATAGGGTAGGTTTTTGTATAACAAAAACTCATAAAACTATAAAGATATACCTAGGTTAACAGAAACTAACTTAGAGGTGTATGTTTAACTACTTATGTCTTTGCTGTATGCTCAACACCAGGCTTCTAGATATTGTTATAATAGGTTGCCAGATGGTCACATTGGGTGAGTGACAAACATGCCATGCAGACAGAGCTTATATGGGAAATTTTATTGGGGGAAGGGAAGGCAGTGGGGGATGGGAAGAGAGAGAGGGGAGAGATTAGGGACTCTTTCGACCCTGGTATTGAGTTCCCTGCCCAAGTCAAGACCTTAAAAGTGCTTCTGATGGTGCTAGAAATATTTCTGTCCAATCTCTATATAAAGCCTTTTGGAAAGTTAAAAGGCTTCTTTTAACTCAGAATCATTTTTGGGTCCCCAACCTTTTACTATGACTTAAAGGCATGAGTCTACTGCCTTTTCTAGAATGTGGTGTGAGAGCCAAAGTTACCTTTTAAGTTTTAATTACTATATTTAAGAGATCCTTGTAACAAAATGCTTCTGGTCTGCAAGCCCCTTGCACAAGGACAAGTAGTTCCTGAAGTGCTGAAGGCTATTGTTTATGTAAGATAACAAGTCATATGTTTTCACTCCCTAAACAAATTTGTTTGTCCCATATGTACCAGATGTAGTTGATCACGTGGCTGGGAGGTACATCTATGGGAAATATGTCAAGATGTACCCTTGTCCTTGATTGGATGTAGGCAGGAAGTATGCAGGCAGGAAGTACCTCATGATATGTGCTTGCCCCTGAATGGGCCTCCTGGGAAATGTGATGAATTATGGGTTTTGCCTTCTTAAGTCCTGGCGAAACTTGATTTGCAGTCATTTCCTGGGAACCTGGGCATTGACCTGGCCAGAGTCCATCCACCTGGTTAGTATTTATTTCCTTTTTGAAATTTCATTTTTTTAACCACAGTTCTCCCTCCTACCTCTCCTCCCATCCTTTCTTGCCTTCTCCCACACCCCCTCATCTTCCCTCTAGCCCACTCCCAGTCCATTCTTCACGGGTAAGGGTTCCCATGCGGAGTCAACATAGTCTGGTATAATAGGTTGGGTCAGGGTCAGACTCCTCTCCCATGCATTAAGACTGAGCATGGCATCCCACCCTAAGGAAGGGGCTCCACCAAGCTTTCTTATATACTAGGCTTGTTTCATGGTCCTACTGCCAGGGGCCCCTCTGATAGTCCAAGATTCATAACTGTCTCCCACATATGGAGAGCCTAGTTCTGTACTCTGGTGTCTCCACAATTGTAGGTCTAGAGTTCATGAGTTTCCATGAGCTTGGTTCAGCTGCCAGATGTCCCAGTCTCTTGCTATTTTCTCCTTTTTACATACAATAAATCTTCTCCAACATACAAAAGTAATATTTTGAAATTTGAGTAAGTAAAACAATGTATTGGGGATATATATGTATATGATATAATATGAATATGATATAATGAAATAAATTCAAGTCTTGTCTGGAAATGGTGTGAAAGACCAGGGAGATTTATACTTGAGTATGACTTTTTATCAACTCCTGACCCTCGTTTGTTCACACTTGCCTTCATTCCACCTCTCCATTGGATCTCACATTCTTAGTTATGCCATTTATTCATTGCATAATGCAAAACATTGGAAGTTTCTTTATAGATTGCATAGCCATGTTGTCCTTGTAACTTTTTTTGTTTTTCTTTCAAGACAGGGTTTCTCTGTGTAGTCCTGGCTGTCTTGGAACTCACTCTGTAGACCAGGCTGGTCTTGAACTCACAGAGACCCACCTGCCTCTGCCTCATTAGTGCTGGAATTAAAGATGTGTGCTACCACTGCCTGGCAGTAACCTTTATCTTTAGATCCAGTTACTTGTTTCCCTCTGAAGTTGTAGTATGTTTTTTTTTTTTTTGGTTTTTCGAGACAGGGTTTCTCTGTATTGTTTTGGAGGCTGTCGGTCCAGCCTGGCCTAGAACTCACAGAGATCCGCCTGCCTCTGCCTCCCAAGTGCTGGGATTAAAGGCGTGTGCCACCACTGCCCGGCTCGTGCGCCACCACTGCCCGGCTTAGTAGTATGGTTGACACCACACAGAGGCACTGTGTAGGTGTCACAGACTTGGCAGCACATAAATGGTTTCATTAGTTACATATTAATACTTTCTGGAAGATCAGGGTGTAGTTGGTCTATAAGTGGTGTGAAAGATCAGGGAAAGGTTGGTGCTTTGAATTTACATAGTGATTAAGAGTGGGTCTAGGATGAGGAGTCCCTGTGTTAGCCAGGACTAGCATGGGTTGAACATCCTGCTTGTAGTAAAGGAAGGTACACTGGACCTTTTAGTGCATGTGGGTGCAAGAGGATGAGTAAGGGATAATCTAAGCTCTGGCAATGTGCATGCTACCTTTTTTAAAGTATATTTTCTAAACTACCAAGCATACTTTCAAACATGTGACTATTCTTGTACTATCTGTCAACTTTACACAAGAGAAGTACATTTGAATAATCTTAAATGTAGTTGTATGTTTCCTCTATCTGTTGATCATCCCCTGTCAAAAATTACTGATGACTTTATTTCATGCTGGATTAGTAATCAAACTTAAAACTTTTTTTAGAGAACTTGATGCATGAGTCCTAGTCTACATCATTTCCACAACCTTCCCCAATTTATGATCTCTTCTTTTGTAATTATAGTTACACACATACACATATATGCACACACATATGTACACATGTATACATAGCCTACCTAGTCTATTTAGATTGCTTGTATGTACATGTGTCCAGAGCTGAATACTTGGGATTGGACAACCTCTGTGGGAATTTTTCCTTGGGGGTATGATTCTCCATCTCTCAGAAGCCATTGATTGCTTGTAAACTGGGCTAACACAGGGACTCCTCAGGCTATACCAATCTCTTAATCAATATGGAAATTCAAATTCATCTTGAGATAGGAATATGTGGAATTTTCCCTGTCCTGTTTGCCATGTCAACTGGTGTCATTATGTTGTTCTTATCAGACAAGAGTATTATTGAGAATTCCGGGCAGCATTTTCCATATCATGTTTGGGATACTCTCTAGCAGCTGGTGTCCTTGTCTTCTGGCTTATACCGCTCTCTTCCCTTCCTTTTCCACGATTTTCCCTGAGCCTTAGGTGTAGAGGCTGCATTGTGGATATATGTTAGGGTTGGGTACCCCATGATCACTTATTCTCTGCATTTTGACCAGCTGTAGATATCTGTAATATTCTCCATCTATTTGAAAAAGAAACTTCTGTGAATTATAAGGATAAACACTCATGACATAGTTAGAAATTATTTAAAAAGTATTTGAGATTTGTATTCAGAAGATAATTACAATTTGATATTTTTACTTCCTCTAATACCAGAAGGCTCTGATTTGCTGTCTCAGCTTTCCCACAAATAGAAGGGGCTGTATTTATTTCTGCATAGCAAATCTCAGTTTATATGCCCTGAATTCTACTTTGTGTCAACCCCCACTTCATGCATTTCAATCTTCCTTAGGAAATTGTGGAGCTCTCATTTACGGAACTGCCTGAGGCGCTGTGAATGTAGATGAGCTGCAAATATAAGATGTATCATGGGTTTGCCGAGATTGTGCCTATCTCATTCACAAATTTAAAATATTTCACACACATTGGCTGTTTTGAATGCTTGGGGACTTAATAAAGTATATTGTCAATATTTTTAGAAGAAAAGAAATTGATTTAAAAATTAAGTTAGTAAGATTTGTATGTGCACTGTGAGGAACTGTTCACACATAACTTTAAATTGCATACATTTGTAAATATTTTAGAATGAGGATTTTAAGAGACTGGGGAAAAGAAGAGAGTATTTGTAGACTGTACTGTAGTTGGAGCACATCAGCTAGTTTATTTGGGGCACAGAGAATAAAGTGTCTCTCAGGCTTGTAGAGTGATGATTCTTCTCTAGGTAGCTTATACTACCAACTATCTTAATTTGAAAGTTTAAGATCTGTATGAGGATTGCATATTAACTTCTAACTTCCTTTGTTCTAGGGGCCCCCTGTGACCCTAGCTTCCTTCTGGCCTGTGTTCCCTGCAATGTGATCTCTGCTGTTATTTTCCAGCACCGTTTTGACTACAACGATGAAATACTTCAAAAGATCACAGAGGATTTTTATAGGATTATTAAAACTTTAGAATCACCTTGGGCTCAGGTGAGATCCAGTTCTATTTATATGTGAAAATGTTATGTGACCCAAATATATACCATCACCATCCAAAAGCTAATATTGAGGTTATGAGCTTTGTATGTCTGATATCAGGTTTATTGGAGAGCTGGCATTCTGAAAAGATGTGGGTACTTTTCAACTTCAAAAAGAAGTCATTTGTGTGAATTTAGGAAAATGAAAGGGCTTTTGCAAGGTGTAGGGTACAATAAGAAGGCTGTGCCCTGACTTGTGTATTCTGTCTTCTAGCTGTCTTGATTTTTGGAGAATCTTCTCTTTTCTTCTTTGAGTATTTTCTTCCCTCCCTAATTCCTTGTCTCCCTCCCTCCCCCACTCCTTCTCTCCCTCTCTCCATGCCTCCCTCCCTCATTCTATCTCTCCTTCCCCTCCCTTTCTTTCCATTATATAGTCCAGGCTAGCCTTGAACTCATAATCTTTCTGATTCTGTCTCCTGAGCTGCTGAAATGACAGATATGTGCCTGTTTAATGATCTCAGCAGTTTGAATTTCTTTATGATGCACCAGTTCAGCCATAGTGGCAGTAGCAGTTGATAAAATAATTCTCATAAGTACAGCAATGATCAGCCCAATCATCAGATGAGTTCTTATTAGTACTCTTTCACTGAGTTTCTGCACTAGAGTCATCACATATTGAAAACTTTAGAAGGCCAGCTTCTAAAATCTTCACTCAGGTTCAAAAAAAGGAGCCACAAATAATTGAAGGAACTAAAATCAGAGGGGGGAAAATCTACTTACAATATGGTCTTTCTATCCATGTCTCTTTATTATTCTTCTTCATCCAGAAAAAAAGTTTTCAGTTATAGATCATTACCACTAGCAATTTTCCAGCCCTATTTGTATTCTGAGACTGGAATTCTTTTGCACCATAGGAGACAGATAAGGATCTTCACATAAGGGGAGTTCTGGCTGTCATGAGAGTGGCTCATGAACATCCCAAAAACTCCTTAATGGGGGAAGGTTAGTTAAGAGATTGAATCATCAGGGAATTCTAGAAGGGGGGCTAGCGTGCTAAACTACATTTTTAAGTGGTTAGATAAAAATCTATATTCAGTCTATATTCAGTAAAAATCACGAGTATGGCAAAGATTTTCTTAACTCAGAGACCGCTTTTCTCCCAGCATGCATAGGGAGTATCGGGTAGCTAGGCAACCTAATAAACAACAGAGGAATGCAGGCAAGCAGCTTTTGTCTGCTGTCTGCACTTTCTAGCAATGGTTTCCTGCTAGGAGAAACTTTTAGCATCAATTGCTTAGGGCTGTAAGTCTAAGACTAATTTGCACAAGAAACCTGGCCCTTCTAGTGATCTGGCCTCAGTGGCAGCATAGGCCTTCAGGAGAGTTCACTTTTACTTAGGATGAGCAAATGGGCTGATTACTTTTGCCATTATCTTCCCAGGGGAAACACAAGCAGTAAATTTCTGAGTAAGACCTTGTGTAATAAAACAAGAAGTCTGAGAATCTCTTAGTTCAGGGTTAGTTCATGCTATTACTTCTCTATCTGCCAGTGAGGTAAAACCAGGGCATGCTTATTTATTTATTTTTCAATTCATTTAGGCAGCTATGAATCAACAGCTTTGGGGGTGTAGCAATTCTGTCTTTGGATATCTGAGAATGTCTTAGATGGGATGCTTTTGCCCAGTCCCCAAACACTGACCAAATGCCTGTCAATAAGGATAATTGCAGGATGGCCGATCTCTGTAATTACACAGGAGAGGGGAACAAGGACCTGATAGTGGGAAACAGGTCTCACACATAGCTAAGGAATGTAATCAGTAAGCTAAGACCTGTTATTGGAAAACAGGCTTCACACAGCTAAGGAGTGTAGTCAGCAAACTCCAAACACATGGGAGAAACTGTGTCCAGGAAATGATCAGATAATGCTGAACTGTGGGATGTAAACCCCAAGTTTGTTAGAGAAAGGAATAAGCTACAGGAAGACTCTACAGCAAGAAACAGCCACTTTTATTCCTAAGACTATAACACCAACTATGACCTTCATATAAAAACATCTCTAAGTTAATAATTTTTTTGTAACCGGGATATTCCTTTATAACATTAGGAATTTCTCATCATATAAAAATAAAATTTATTCCGAAATAATAGTAAGCAGAGGTTTATTAGGGTTAAGAAATTTTATAGGTGCCATCTTTTACCATTCATGGTCACAGCTGTTCTTGGCTATTCTCCTAGGCAGGCTTTTTTTTTTTCCTGCTAGCATTTTTTAGAGACTGAGGTGACTGCAGCTCAGTATTGCTGTCATGTGTCAATAAAATTGTAACACGAATTAAGAAATGACCCAGAGACTGATATTGGGGTTCAAACTTCAAGCTCAAGTTCCGAAAACCAAAGCAGCTGGCCCTTAGCTTCTTACCTCTACCTCAGTCTGAATGGACTGATTCTGTCTCCATGAGGGCTCACCAAACCTCAGACTGTAACCTCTCCTCAGTATGGCTGGAGAATAAATGCTTCTCTGAGACCTTGCTTCTGTCTTATATACATCTCTAGTGTTTGGATTAAAGGTGTGAGCTATAACTCTCTTTTAGATTGATTCCCTCTTTGTAGATCTGGGTGGCCTTGGACTCACAGAGATCCCGTCAACCTCTTAATCCTGAGTCCTAGAATTAAAGGTGTGTACCACCATGTCCTAGCTTCTGGTTGCTGGGATTAAAGATGTAATACCGGGCTTTGGCGGTGCATGCCCTTAATCCCAGCACTCGGGAGGCAGAGGCAGGCAGATCTCTGTGAGTTCGAGGCCAGCCTGTTCTACAGAGCGAGTTCCAGGACAGGCTCCAAAACAATACAGAGAAACCCTGTCTCGAAAAACAAACAAAAAAAAATGTGTGCCTGGCTTCTATGGCTTATGGCTGCCTTTCTTTCTGAACCCTCAGGCAAACTTTAATCATAAATAGTATATCACAACATAAAGTTCTATTTATTTATTTTTAAGGCAAGGAAACTGAGCTGAAGGAACACATTAATCCTTCTTCAAACTTTTGTTTCCTTTTTTATTTCTGTCTCAACTTTTTTATTTCTGTTGTTAACTAGTCTCCATTTTCAAGTACCTCATTCAAATTTTTCCTTCTACTGTATTTTTTCTACATCCACAGTTCTTCTGCAGCATTCTTTTCCTCTCTGTTCTTCATGTGTTAATTTATATATGAGCTTCAATCTTTCTGAAAGATACCCATTTTGGATGAGGATATTGCAAACTGGGGTTTCAAAGCTGTCTAGTATCACCATAAGACCCAAGTTTGAAGTTGAGGGTGTAAAGATTTCACTAGTAGAAACCAGGGAAACAATACAAAGAATCAATGCAAGGAAGAGTTGGTTCTTTGAGAAAATCAACAAGATAGACAAACCTTTGTCCAAACTCACCAAACAGCAGAGAGTGAACACGCAAATTAACAAAATCAGAAATGAAAAGGGGGACATAACAACAGACTCTGAGGAAATCCAGAGAATCATTAGGTCATACTTTGAAAACCTGTACTCCACAAAATTCGAAAAATTTAAAGGAAATGGATGACTTCCTGGATAGCTATCACTTGCCAAAACTAAATCAAGAACAGATAAGCAATTTAAATAGACCCATAACACCTATGGAAATTTAAAATTAATTTTTACTTAAGTAACAAACAATCTTACTTTACGTACCAATCTCAGTTCTGTCTCCCTCCTATCCTCCCATTCCCATCCCTATTCACTCCTAAGAGAGGGTGAGGCCTTTCATGGGGGATTATCGAAGTCTGTCACATCATTTGGGGCAGGATATAGGCACTCCCCCATATATCTAGGCTGAGAGAGTACCCCTCCATAGGGAATGGGCTCCCAAAGCTCATTTGTGCACTAGGGATAAATACTGGTTCCACTGCCAGAGGCCCCATAGACTGCCCAAGTACCCCAAACTGACACATTTAGTGGGCCTGATTTTGGTCCTATGCTGGTTTCCCAGCTGTCAGTCTGGGATCTGTGATCTTCCACTTGCTCAGGTCATCTGTTTCTGTGGATTTCCCAGCATGGTCTTGACCCCTTAGCTCATCACTCCTCCCTCTCTTCAACTGTATTCCAGGAGTTTGGCTCATTGCTTTGTTGTTAATCTTTGCTTCTGCTTCTATCAGCTATTGGATGAAGACTCTATGTTGGCATTTCAGGTAGTCATCAATCTCGTGATAGGAGAAGGGCATTTAAGATAGCCTTTGCCCTATTTCTTAGATGCTAAGTTGGGGTCATCCTTGTGGATGACAGTAGTTCCAGGTTTCTTGTTAGACCTATAACAGCTCCCTCTATTATTGTATCTCTTTCCTTGCTCTCCTCTGTTCTTCCCCCAGCTTCACTGTCCTGATCCCTCATGTTATCCTCCCCCTGTGCATCTCCCCTCCTCTTTCTCCTCCCTCCCCCCATGTCCCCAGTTTACTCAGGAGATCTTGTTCCTTTCCCCTTCTTGCGGGGGTCCATGTATGTCTCTCTTAGGGTCCTCTTTGTTTCCTAGATTCCCTGAGGTTGTGGATTATAGGCTGGTTATCCTCTGCTCTATGTCTAATTTCCACTTATGAGTGAGTAGATACCATGTCTTTCTTTCTGTGTGTGGGTTACCTCACTCAGGATAGTTTCTTATAGTTCCATCCATTTGCCTGCAGATTTCAAGATGTCATTGTTTTTTTCTACTGAGTAGTACTCCATTGTGTAAATGTACCACATTTTCTTTATCCACTTTTTGGTTGAGGGGCATCTCGGTTGCTTTCAGGTCCTGGCTATTACAAATAATGCTGCTGTGAACATAGCTGAACAGATGTCCTTGTGTTACGAATGTAAACACTATTTCTTTAAACCACTTTAGATCTGTCATCTCTGCAGGATTCCAAAGAATAACTTTCATTTTTGTATTAGGAAGAGCCTCTTTCTTTACTCTGTTTTTGTCTCTTGAGGCTTTCTATTTGCAGGCCTTAATTAAACAGTTCCTCTTTTTCTATCAGGAAAATCCTTTTTTCTTTATTAAACACTTCCCCTTTTCCACCAGGAAGGTCCCTTGATTTATTCTTTGTCTCAGGAGCCATTCTATTTGTATTTGTAATATCTGCAAATGTGCAGTAAAGGCTTCTCCTTTTAACAACTGTATACATGGCCACTCCTGAGATAGGGGAATATCCACATTCCTGTCAATTCCTGGAGTCCCCCTTACCTGAGCAATCATAACCTCCAGTCCTGGAGTCTCACTTACTTGAGCATAAAATAGCTACAGTACTGGAGTGTCTGTGTTCCTCCTTCCTCCCAGGCTCACGACGTTGGGCACCATGTGTAGGTGTTCTGTGTGATTCGAGTAGGCAGAAGAAAGAGTCCCTCCAGAATATAATTCAGCTTCTACTAGGAACAGGGGATCAGCTTCCGATGAACTGAATGCCTAGCAGTTTCCCAGAAACCTCTTTATTGTTACATAAAAGGCACTTTTAACAAGTCAATTTCTTCATACCAAAATTGTTTATCTGGTCTAGGAATTGTCTGAAGGAACAATTAGAAATTTACAAAAGGATATCTTGGAAATTTACAGAAGGATACTTCAAAGCTTAGGTGCCATCACTCTGGAATTTATACCAGATACAAAGGATCTGTTGAATATTTAATTACAACTCTCATTTATAAGATGGTAGTTGAGTATAGACTGTCCCTACTTCATACTTTTTCCCCAAATAAAAAAGGTAACAGATTTTAGACAGTTAGCCACTGGTTATACTTTAGAATTGCACATATACACATCATTTGAAAAATTAGACATTCATTTAAGTATCAGTTAGATGATCAAGAGAAGAAAACATCCTCCATTTAGTGAATAACTAACTTGAGATTATAATCACCTCATTTCTCCCTTTCTTTTCTTGTCTCCAGCTCCTCCCATGTACCTGCCCCCTTGTTCTCACTCAAATTCAAGATATTTTTCTTTAAGAACACACACACCCCTGATTCATTTAGTGCTGCTTATATAGATATGATTTTAGGCAGACCACATGGAGCTAGGAGACATCCCCAGAGAAGACCTGTTTTCCCTCTTCCAGCAGTCCTTACTCACCTAGCAGTGGAATCTCATGAGATTTCTCTCTTCCACATTATCATGTCTACTGGAGTTGCAGTTTTTAGGTGAGTGGAGAAACATGTGTAAGATAAACTTGGATAAAGACCACTTCTATCCCTGCTATCACTGATTTGTGGTCTCAGAATTTGACTAGTCATTCTGCATCTCAGTATTAATAGGGCAGAGGGGGCAGTGGGATTAGCCCACACATTCCTTTGGAGATCTGATGTCAGGGATTGAATGTGATCTGAAATTGCTGCAGAAACTGTGTACATGGCCGCTCTGACCATTTGATCCATGCTGTACCTGCTCCCCAAGTGCTAGTCATATAGGCGCACAGGAGGCATGGGAAATTCACCTTTTTGAACTGTTGAACAGATAACCAAGCCCTAGAAGGTGTGCTGTTTACCCTAATGCAAGTTTGTTTCTCTTCCAGCTCTGCAGTATCTATCCTGTTTTATATTGTCTCCCAGGAAGCCATAAAGCATTCTTGAAACAAGAGTTTGGACATTATGAATTTATTTCGAAGGAAATCAAAAGGCATCAGGAATCTCTGAATCCCAGTAACCCTCAGGACTTTATTGACCATTTTCTGATTAAAATGGAAAAGGTACAAAGTATCTTGACTTGCTAGTCCACATTTGTGGGAATCTGACTCACTTTTTTTCCCCCTTGGTGAAATTGGGATGTTTATTCTAGTGATATATTTATTATATACGGAATCAATTTCTCATGTAAATCATATAGAATATTTAGATATTGTTAAGATTTTCAGTTTATTTAGAATTAGAAAGTCTGTATTTCCCGGGATTGAGGTCAGTTCTTTAGTAACACACAGATATCAATTCAAGAGTGATGAGAACATATCACCATATGTAAATTGTCCTCTATGAACAGCAGGTATAAAGACTTAGGGAACAGAGGACTTTTCTCTAAAGAGACTCTAAGAAACCTTTGCAGTTGAACTTGGCTTTGAGGAAACCCCAGTTTAGACTAACAGGAGGATAAGCGAGAGTGTGGTAACTGCAGTCTTCAGGTAGTTATCTTTCAGAAGGTGCAATTGATTTGAATTATGGTGGTGGATATAAAGACGGAAGAGGTTAGAAATAGTAATAGAGTTTGTTTGTGTATAGTCTCTGAGATTTTAAATGTAATAAAGGTCCAGCAGTTGTTAGAATTGATGGTATCAGTAAGTGCTTTTGTATATACTACATTCGAAAAAGATAACAGGAAATGGTTTGTCTCCAGTATGTAAGAAGTGAGGAACAAAAAAAAAACTTGGAATACTGTAATTTTAATTATCTTTTAACCATGTGAAGGAATCATAAGGGTCACCGAGCATCCACCTTTATCTTCAGGTAGAACAGCTTTTTTTTAAGAGTGGGGGAGGGCAATTCAGTGAATAACGGATGCCTCAAGTTTATTCTTCACTATTCTTAAGTTCTCCAACAAGAAGGGAGACATGGCACAAGACTTCTATCATCATGTATAAGGAGTAAACAGACTTGGCAGAACAGTTTCTAATGTCTAGTTTATGTAAAAAATGCTTAAGTCATATTGAATTATTTTATTATCTGTAAACCTTTAAAAACAAACTAATATTTTACACACCGATCCCAGTTCCCTCTCTCTCCCACCCTCTCATTCCCTTCACCATCCCCTATCTATTCCTCAGGGAGAGTGAGGCCTCCCATGGAAGATCATCAGAGTCTGTCACATCATTTGGGGCAGGACCTAGGCTCTCCCCCATATATCTAGGCTGAGAGAGTTTCCTTCCATAGGGAATAGGCTCCCAAAGCTCATTCGTGCACTAGGGATAAATAGTGGTTCCACTGCCAGAGAACCCATAGACTTCCCAGGCCTCCCAACTGACACCCACATACAGGGGGCCTGGTTTGGTTTTATGCTGGTTCCCCAGCTATCAGAATGGAGTCTATGAGCTCTTACTTGCTCAGGTCAGCAATTTGTGAGAGTTATCAATGTAGTATTATTTGTCTTGTAATTGATATGATCAATTTTTAAAATATTAAATTTTCCTTGATCTAAAAAACTCAAATTAACATGCAAACAAGTAAAACTAATTCCTATAACCTTTAATTGTTAGGAAAAACAGAATAAAAAGTCAGAATTTACCATGGAAAACCTGGTCATCACCATATCGGATCTTTTCAGTGCGGGAACAGAGACGACAAGTACCACAATGAAATATGGGCTTTTGCTCCTGCTGAAGCATCCTGAGGTCACAGGTATGATTATAGATGGGCAGATCAATGTCCAGGTAGAAATGGGCAGATAGAACTAGAAACTGTCACACTAGAATAGACTCTGTACTAGCAAATTTGCATTACTGCAATTACCTCCCACTGGATGAATTTAGTTCAAACTAGATCATAATAAAGAAAAAGGTAAAATATTTAAGCTGCAGCAGGGAATGGTCAGTGGCTGTTCTTCTCCCTATGATTCAGAATCTCTGACTTGGGTTAGGACAAATACATAATAGTGTTCTTAGGGTTCAAATAGAACTAGCCTCCTCTCACATTTTGTCCTATATCATAATAGATACTTATTTATTTTATTTTCCAGAAAGTATATATGATTAAACTTTTCTGAGCATGTATTAATTATAGACAATGGTGTGTTTCATTATAACATTTTCATACATATATAATTATTCTTTTTTTCTTTAAATTAGAAACAAGCTTGCTTCACATTCCCATCCCCCACCAGGCCCCCCTGTCTCTGACCCAATCCCCACTCTATTCCCCAGGGAGGGTGAGGCCCTCCATAGGGGATCTCCAGAGTTTGCCATTTCGTTCAGGGCAGGGCCTAGGCCCTCCTCCCCCAAGAGTCCAGGCTGAGAGAGCATCCCTCATTGTGGGAGGGGCACCCAAAGTCCATTAGTATGCCATGGATAAATAATAATCTACTACCCCAGAGATTTCCTAGGCCTCCTCACTGACCCCCACATTCAGGGGATTTGGATTAGTCCCATGCTGGCTTCCCAGGCATCAGTCTTGGGTCCAAGAGCTCCCCTTGTTCAGGTCAGCTGTTTCTGTGGGTTTCACTAGCCCAGTCTTGACTCCTTTGTTCATGACTCCTCCATCTTTGTCACTGGGTTCCAGGAGTTCAGTTCAATGTTCAGCTGTGGGTATCTGCCTCTGCTTCCATTAGTCATTGAATGAAGGTTCTAGGATGGCATTTAAGGTAGTTGTCAAACTCATTATCAGGGTGGGGCATTTAAGGTAGTCTCTCTACTATTGTTTCCTTTGTCAGTTGGTGTCATCCTTGTAGATCTCTGGAAATCCCACTGCTCCCTCATGTCCTCCTCTCCCCTCCTCTTCTCCCCCTCTCTTTTTCCCAGCTCCCTCTCCCTTCCTCACCCCATGCTCTCAACCTGCTCAGGAGATCTTGCCTCATTCCCTTTCTCTGGGGTACCATGCATATCTCTCTTAGGGTCCTTCCTGTTTCCCAGACTTCTGGCAGTAGGATTGTAGGCTGGCACTCCTCTGGTCCATGTCTAAAATCCGTATAGGAGTGAGTATATACCATGTTTGTCTTTTTGTGACTGGTTACCTCACTCAGGATGGTTTCTTCTAGTGCTATCCATTTGTCTGCAAATTTCAAGATTCCATTGTTTTTTCCACTGAATAGCACTCCATTGTGTAAATGTACCACATTTTCTCTATCCACTCTTCCGTTGAGGGGCATCTAGGTTACTTCCAGGTTCTGGCCATTATGAATAATGCTGCTATGAACATAGTGGAACGGATGTCCTTGTTGTATGAATGTGCATCTTTTGGGTATATGCCTAAGAGTAGAATTGCTGGATATTGTGGCAGACTGATTCCCATTTTCTTGAGGAATCTCCATACTGATTTCCAAAGTGGCTGTACAAGTTGGCACTCTCACCAGGAAGTGGAGGAGTGTTCCCCTTTCTCCACATCCTCTCCAGCATAAACTGTCATTGGTGCTTTTGATTTTAGCCATTCTGACAGGAGTAAGATAGTATCTCAGAGTTCTTTGGATTTGCATTTCCCTGATGGCTAGGGATGTTGAGCACTTTTTAAAGTGTCTCTCAACTATTTTAGATTCCTCTATTGAGTATTCTCTATTTAGTTCTGTAGCCCACTCTTTAATCGGATCCTTTGGTGTTTTGGAGACTTGCTTCTTACTTTCAGAGTTTCCATGGAAAAGTTCGGTGTAATTCTGATGGGTTTGCCTTCATATGTTACTTGACCTTTTTCCTTAGTTGCTGTTAATATTCTTTATTTTGTATGTTTGGTGTCTTGATTATTATGTGGCAAGGAAATTTTTTTGTGGTCTACTCTATTTGGTGTTCTGTAAATTTCTTGTACCTTCATTGGAATGTCTTTCTTTAGGTTGGGAAAGTTTTATTCTATAATTTTGTTGAATATGTTTTCTGCCCTTTTGAGGTGATTTTCTTTACCTTCTATTCCTATTATTCTTAGGTTTGGTCTTTTCATGTTGTCCCATATTTTCTGGATATTTTGTGTTAGAGATTTGTTGGACTTCAAATTTTCTTTGGTCGATGAATCTATTTCTCCTAGTGTGTCTTCAATACGTGAGATTCTCTCTTCCATCTCTTGTATTCTGTTGGTTGTGCTTACATCTGTATTTCCTGACCATTTTCCCCAGCTTTTCTATTTCTGGCATTCCTTCAGGCTGTTTTTTTTAATTGTCTCTATTTCAGCTTTCAGCCCTTGTACTGTTTGAATTGTTTCTTGCAAGTTTTTCTTTGTCTTTTCTTCTGTTTGTTGCATTTTTTGTTTGTTTTTTCTTCCATTTCTTCCATTTTTTGGTTTGTATTTTCTTCTATCTCCTTAAGGGATTTTCTCATATACTCTTTGAAGGCCTCTATCATTTCATGAAGTTGTTTTTAAGGTCATTCTCTTCGCATTGGAATGTTTCTGTCTTGCTGGTGTAGAGTCCCTAGACTCTGGTGGTGTCATATTTTTTTCTGTTGCTGAATATGTTTTTGCATTGTCTCCTTCCCATCCCTTCTTCCAGTGGTGCAGAAGGAGTCTCTTGCTCTCCTGCTGGGTAGTGGACCAGGGTTTCCTCTCAGTGGGTGCAAGCAAATCCAGTACTCTGGTAGTTCTCCTTCTCTGGGTCCTAGTCTTGGTCCTATGCATTGAGAAGGGGATTTGGATGCTGGAGTGTGTTGTCTCCTGCAGGGATGGGAGACTCAGTGGCAGTCCCGGGCACAGGTCATATATAATTATTCTTATTATACCTCACTGCTCTCTCTTTCTCCTCCTCTCACCCAGTAATACTTTTTCTCTTCCCAACTAGTCCTATTTTTACTTTCATGTCTGTTTTTCCTTTTTTCAATAAACCAATAGTTTAATTAGGTTTATTTACCTGATCATTGGTGAGATGTTATTTACTGGATTACCAACAATTGACCAGTGGTTACATTACTTAAGAGAATCATTGTTTTTTACATCCCGGGAAATATTAATTTCCCATAGATCCTTAGGAAGGGTTTGGTTCTTGTGAACCTCTCCCTTCTCATTGAGGGACAGTGATAGGATAGATTACTCTTGTACTCGTAGATGTTTTGTGGGTTGTCATAGCTGCTGACAGTTCAAGAGTGAGATGGAAATGTGCCATAGGTTCTTTAAAGACAAACATGGTATGTATTCTGTCATATATGGATTTTAGACATAGATCTGGGGAGTGCCAGCCCACAATCCCCTGGCCAGAGAGTCTGGGAAACAGAACCTTCAACCAATGACTGATGGAAGCAGAGGCAGACACCCACAGCTAAACACTGAGCTGAACTCAAGGAACCCAGTGACAGAGAGGGAGGACTGATGATCAAAAGGGGTTAAAACTGGGCTGATTTAACACCCAGAAACAGCTGACCTGAACAAGGGGGTAGCTCTTGAATCCCAGACTGATAGCTGGGAATCCAGTATGGGACTGATCAAGACCCCCTGAATGTGGGTGTCAGTGAGGAGGCCTAGGCAGTCTATGGGGCCTTGGGTAGTAGATTAGTATTTATCCCTGGCATACAAATGGACTTTGGGTGCCCATCCCACAATGTGAGGTACACTCTCACCCTGGACTCTTGGGGGAGGTTCTAGGCCCTGCCCTGGATGAAATGACAGACTATGGACACCCCCATTGAGGGCTCACCCTCCCTGGGGAAAGGAGGGTGTATTGGGGGGGTTTGGTGGGAGGGTGTGGGAGAAGAGGAGGGAAAGGCAGAGGGACCTGGGATTGACATGCGAAGCAACCTTGTTTCTAATTTAAATTAAAAAAGACACCATTACCACTGCAACCCTTATAAAGGAAAACATTTAATTGGGGCTGGTTTATAGTTTAGAGAGTTAGTCCATTATCATCACAGTGGAAAACATGGTGGCATACAGGCAGACATGGTGATGGAGAAGTAATTAAAGAGTTATACATCTGGATGTCAGGTAATGGGAAGAGAGAGTGACCCACTGAGCCTGGCTTGAGCTTCTGAATCTTCAAAGCCTACCCCTTGTGTCAAACTTCCTCCAATAATACCATAGCTACTTCTACAAGGTCACACTCTAACAATGTGACTCTTTGAGTCTATGGGGGTCATTTTCATTCAAACCACCATACCACACTTGATAAAATGTTACACACCTCTTGTGCTTAATTTTTAAAGAATTCTGTTCAGAACTATAGCCCATGTTTTGTTTGGATTATTTGCTTTATGTTTAGAGTTTTGTGTTCATTGTATATTCTGGATATTAATCCTGCATCAGATGTGTGGGTGAAAGTGATTTTCTCTTATCCTGTCAACTGCCTTTTTATTTGATTGACCATTTCCTTTGCTGTAAAGAGGGTTTTTAGTTTCATGATGTTCTTATCAATTCATGAGTGACTCAGTGAGTCCTATTTACTAAGTCCTTTGTTCCCCCCTTGTAACCTTACCCAAGCCTCTTTTCTTCCTTCTTGCCCATGTGTAGATGGAGAAAACAAGATATTTCATGACAAAACCAGATTTAAACAATACCTATCCACAAATCCAGCAATATAGAAAGTATTTGAAGAAAAACTCCAACCCAAGGAACTCAGTTATAGCCACAAAAATACAGGCAATAGATAATCTCACAACAGCAAAGTCAAAAGAATGGAAACACACATACACACACACACACACCACCACCACCACCACCACCACCACCACAACAATCACTACTCAAACCAAATAATAACAGGAATTAACAATCATTGATCAATAGCATCTCTTGTTATCACTGGACTCAATCTGCCAATAAAAACACACAGGCTAAAAGAATGGATACAAAAATAGGGTCCATCCTTCTGGTCTATACATGAAACACACCTCAACTTCAAAGACAGACATTACCTCAGACTGAAGGTTTGGGAAAAGATTTTCCAATTAAATGAATTTAAGAAGCAAGGGGGTATAGCTATCCTAATATTTAACAAAATAGACTTCAAACTAAACTTAACCAAAAGAGATGGAGAAGGACATTTCATATTCATCAAAGGAAAAATCCATCAAGATGAAGTTTCAGTTCTGAACATCTATGCCCCAAATATAAAGACACCCACATTTGTAAAATAATATTACTTAAATCACACATCAAACCCAACCCCACACATTAATAGTGGGAGACTTTAACACTCCACTTTCACCATTGGATAGGTCTGCTGGACAGAGACTTACCAGAGGGGAACTAACACATTAAGACTTATATGGACATTTCACTCAAATGCACCTCATGGAACCTTCACTAAAACTGACCATGTACTTGGTCATAAAGCAAATCTCAACAGATATAAAAAATTGGAATAACCTCTAGCACCTTACCAGACCATCATGGGTTAAAGTTAAGAGTTCAACAACAACAAAAATTACAGAAAGCCTACAACTTATGGAAACTGAATAGCTCTCAGCTGAACTACTACTGGGCTAAGGAAGAAATAAAGAAAGAAATTAAAGACATCCTAGAATTCAATGAAATTGAATCTACAACATACATAAACTTATGGGACCCAATGAAAGCAATGCTAAGAGGAAAGTTTATAGCACTAAGTGCTTACATAAAGAATTTGGAGAAATCTCACATAAGTGACTTAACAACACATCTGAAAGCTATAGAACAAAAAGGAACAAACCCATCCAGGAGGAGTAGATGGCAGGAAATAATAAAACTTAGGGTTTTCTTTTTTTGCAGTTGAAAACTCTTACATATATGTATATGTAATAGATTTTCACCATCCATTCATTGGTTGACTGACATCTCTTTTTTTTGGTATCAATAAGCAAGGATGTATAAATGTGTCTGTGGTAGCATATGGGCTTATTGGGTATATGACGAGGGGTAGTCATGTGGTAGATCTTTTTTTAATTTATTGAGGAACCACCATAATGATTTTCATAATGGCTGTACTAATTTGCATTCCCATCAGCAGTGAAAAGGGTCCCTTTCCCCACATCCAGAGCAGTGTTTGTTGTCAGACTCTTTAATGATAGCCATGTTGACTTGGGTGAGATGTTAATCTCAAAGTAATTTTAATTTGCATTTCCCTGATGTCTAGGGATGTTGATCACCTAAACAAATACTTTTTATCCATTTGTGTTTCTTCTTATGAAAACTCTATATTCATTTCATCTGTCCACTTACTGATTGGCAGATTTTTGTATGTGTTTAATATTTACAATTCTTTGTAATTTCTGAGTATTAGTCTGAAAGATAGCTGGCTAAGAGTTTATATCATTCTGGGGATTCTGTGTTCACTCTCCTGTTAGTTTTTTTTTTGTTATGCAGGATCATTTGATGTCATTTGGCCCATTCTTTAATTTTGAGGCCAATGCCCTACTCTCAGACCTCTGTTCAGAGAGTTCCTTCTTATACCTATTTCTTTAAGTTCATCTTTGATGTTTTCCCTAGAAGTCTCAACGTTTCAGGCTTTATTTAAAGACTTTGATCTACTTTGAATTGATTTTTTTTGTAGAGTGAGACATGAATGTAATTTCATTCTACTGCAGAGAGATATCCACTTTCGCCAACACCATTTATTGGATAGTCTGTCTTATTATTTTTCATCACTGCTTGTCTTGTGTGAATGTGTTTATTTTACTAATTTACTTCTCAATATGTTTGTTATGTATATGGAAAAAGTATTGATTTTATATGTTAACTTTCTATACCAATGCTTTGTTTAAAGTTTTTATAGTCTTTAAGCACTTTATGTAGATACTAGTAGCTCATACTTAGAATATTGTTATCTCTGTGTTAGGTTTTCTACTCTTGTAGAAACGATGGAATTTGTTTTTCTCGAATCTCCACTTCCTACTACAACTTTAAAATGATCAAGAATAATATAAAATATAATTATTTTCCATTTTATAAAAACCATGGTTTCTGCCCTGGAAGCTAAAATTCAGGAAGAAATTGCACGTGTGGTTGGCAAACATCGGAGCCCCTGCATGCAGGACAGGAACCACATGCCCTACACTGATGCCGTGCTGCATGAGATCCAGAGATACATTGACCTTGTTCCCATCCCCTTGCCTCGTCAAACAACACAAGATGTGGAGTTCAGAGGGTACCACATTCCCAAGGTGAGATCTAGTTCATCTGTGCCCCTCACCAGGCATCTTTGCCTGTCAGTTAAACAATGTGATATAAACACAAAGCCTGACCTTCCACAAGGTGCCAGAATCATACACCAGTCATCTTAGCACCCTCACACTCTGCTCCTTTGTCTGTAATTTATTGATATGGTTTTCTAACATGACTTGCTTTTCACAAACTTCTCAGTCCATTAATACGTCTATACCCTTCCTGTCTGTTAATGCAATCTGCTGTCCACACTTTTGCTTCCCAGTGGGTTTTTACTATTCTTGTTAATTAACCACTACTGTGTATTCCCACCTCCCTCCATAATTTCTGGTTGACTTACTTAGAATAAGTCCAGTCTAAAACATCTTTCCTCTTCCTTGGTATATACTGAAAATATGTTCAGTATATAAAAGTATATACTGAAAGTAAAAAAGAATAAAAAAGAAAACCTCAAAGAAGGCATTAAGAAACAACAACAACAACAACAACAAAAGCCTTTTCCAAACACCAAAGTTCTTTTTGTGTTGGCCCACTACTGCTTGACCTCAGTGCTGCCTAAAGTGTGGTTTGTTTCTTGGAGACTTCTGGAGAAACTAATTTTTCCTAAGTGAGTGGCTGCTAGTGCAGGAGACAGCGTCTGTGTTAGGAATTGGGTCTTGTGCCTACTTATGCTCCCAGTGCTGCGAACTATCTGACTTAGACTGTGCATGCTGCCCCAGTCTCTGTGACTTCACATACTATGCCAGGCCTGTTGTGTCTAGAAGGCCTTGTTTCCTCGGTGTTCTCCATCCCCACTTGTTCCGGACACCCCTTGTGGGAGGGTTTGAGAAGATGCAGCACCACCGACTCAGGCAGTGGGAGTAGTGAGTAGCAGACCATGCTGCAGACTCATTTATCAAGGAAGTTAGGCCTGTGGTTATACTCCATCCCGAGGTCCTATGGCTCAAGTGGCTGACTCTGCTGTGTTTTCCTTTTCTCTCTTTGGTGTCTCTGGGTCAGGTGTCTCTCTGTCAGCAGTCTCTGGGCATTGAGGCAGGCTTTTGGCTAGACTCAGGGAGGAAGTGCCTGCAGCGCATATGCATTCGGGTGACTGCAGCTTGGGTTTCTCCTACACCCATTGGCTCTTACAATCTTTCTATTGCCTCTTCCACCAAGTTGCAATGAATTTTCAATGGCATTGCCCTGTCGGATAACACTGCTGAATGTATATCAAGAGCCGCTTTAATTCTGCAAGATCCCAACATCAGACCACAAACTAGTGGTGGTGGCCTGTGAGGTCAATGTACAGAGACCCTGAATGAGAATTACAGGCTGTAAGATCTGTTAAGCCTGGCATTGATGTGTTCTTTGACATGGAACAAACGACCTTTTTATTTGGCCTCAATCTGCTGATTCACAGTACAAGGAGATCAGATGAAAGACATCTAATTTTTTTCCAGGTTCCGTGACCTCCTTCCTGTATGATTTTTGTTCTTTTTCTTTCAGGGCACAAGTGTAATGACATGTCTGACTTCTGTCCTACATGATGACAAAGAATTTCCCTGCCCAGAGAAGTTTGACCCTGGTCACTTTCTAGATGAGAGAGGCAACTTCAAGAAGAGTGAGCACTTCATGGCCTTCTCAGCAGGCAAGCAAGCTTTGTTTCCATACATGTTGGGCCCAGGTGAGGTGAGAAGAGCTGTGCATGGAGGCTCTTGTGTCGACATGAATAGCCATCTCCATGAGGCAGGACCAGAGTGGCAACCCCAAGATGAAGGCTGCTTCTCATTGGATTAGAGGGTTCACCCACCGATTCTGCTCTCTGACCCAGGGCTGAACTTCTTAAGAGTCCTTCCTGAAAGAAATCCTACTTTTCTGAGGCATTTCTCTCCACCCAGAGGATCCAGGTCACCGTGGACTCAAGGAATACCTTACATGTAGCAACTCAGTGCTCAGATCCAGGCGTACAGTGTATGAGAGAAACAAAGAGGATCAATGAATAGGAAAAGACACTATCCTGTGAAAATGGGCTATTCTCAAGTCCTACAGGGGAGCCCAGAGAGAGCAGTTTACAGAACTGGTGTTTTTGAAGGACAGCAAGCTAAATGGTCAGACTGCAAGAGAAATTGCTCTCAGGAAGTACTACCATTTAAATGCCTTCTTTCAATTTGAAAGGGTCTCAGAAAAGAAAAATTGATCCACTCTAAGAGATGATTAAAAAGTTAAAATGATGAGTTGTTGGGGAAGTCTTATGCTAATAAAGCACTGTCTGGCCAATAGGAATCTAGATAGGTGGGGCTAGGAATCCAGGAGGATGCTGGGTAGGAGAAACACAAGAGAGTCGACATGTGACGCCATAGGGGTAAGAAGCCGGGAACTATTCTCCGGTAAGAAACATACTTAGATTAACAATTATGGGGTAATTACTTAAGGCAGAGCTAGCCAGTAAGGGAAAAGCAAGGCCAACAGCTTCATAATTAATATAGCCTCTTGTGTGTTTATTTGGGACTGATGCGGATCTAGAACCAGGCTGGCACGGCAGAGCCCAGGTGACTGGCGGGGGATAAACCAAAGCGGCTAGCAAAGGAAAAAGCTTCTCTTAACAATGAGTAACAGGATTAAAAAGGAAGAGACTGTTCCCATGGGAACAGAGAAAGTGGCAGAATATGGAAAATTCCTCAAAACTGACACAAGCAAGTAGTCCGCAATGGACCAGGAACTGGATGGGACTGGAACCTCTCTTGTTGAGGCAGAATTTCCTCCACTGGAAATTCGTGTTCCAGGAGCATCAGGGCTGTTTACATAGAGAACCACTGTTTCAGAGAAAAAAAGAATAATTAAAATAGTCATGGATTTGGATGTGAGTGGGGAGAGGGAGGGTTAAAATGATATAAATATATTACTAATTTATAAAATATAAAAATGTAAAATACTCCCCCCAATGATTGAAATGAAACAAAATTTGTCCCAAGAATGGAAGGACAGGAAAGAAATCAGGACAGTACAAAAATATAGTCAGTTTTTGGGTAATTAATCTGGGTTAATTAGTCATTCATTTACATGTATTCTGTGTGTTAACTCAGAATCAGAATTAAATGACTTATCAGTTGTCATGTCTTTTGTAGGAAGAAGAGCGTGTATTGGAGAAGGCCTGGCCCGCATGGAGATGTTTTTAATCCTGACCAACATTTTACAGCATTTCACTTTAAAACCTCTGGTCAATCCAGAGGACATTGATACCACCCCAGCTCTCACTGGCCTGTTGTCTCTTCCTCCGCCCTATGAGCTCTGTTTCATTCCAGTCTGAAGCTGGGTAGTCTTTCTCATGGATGACTGAGACCCTGCTTTTACTTTCGAGCAAACAGAGTGTTTTGTGTCCTATGTACCTGCACCCTGCAATTCTTCTTAATGGCAGGTCTGCTACCTAAAATTTTCTCCTGTCTTTATGAGCCGGTTCTAATTTCCACAAATGAAAAAAGCCTCACTGATTCAGCGCTAATAAAATTTTTGTTGCAGCGTGTGTCCAATCATTATTCATATTTTTGTGTGAGTGCATTCCAAATGGAAAGTGCATTATCAGTCTCATGTCTTGTTTGAGTAACAGCAAACAGAACTTACTCTGTGATTTTCAAATATACATTTTGTCTTTGCGCCATAAATTTTAAAAGTATGACTATATGTACATATTTTCATAAGTGATGTTCATGGTTATGTATGTAAATACACACACAGATGTGTGTGTATGCACACAGGGACATAACAATGAAAGATCATGCCTACCAAGGGGAGCAACATGAGATAACACTTGAATTTCCCAGTTTCCAAGGATACTCTTTCCTTATCTTCTCCCAGAGCTACCCTATACACACTCCATATATGATTCCATATAACTTCATACACACAAACAGAAATATCTGCATATGAGGGTTTAAAGTTAACTATGATTTGGAAGTGCTATTTATATAACAACACATCATAGATGTTTTTATAAACACATAAACATAACTCATAATATCTTACTGTTTGACTATTCCATAACCTTCAAACTTATTTCCTATAAAATACATATCCATATTTAATGATATTTAGATTAGTTTTGAAATATTGCCTTCATATGTTACTATAGTCACATATCTTTAATGACTTCATACTATTTCTTTAAGTGTCTTTTTAGCTGTGCAATGGCCACTCAACAGTAAATATAAACTGTTATTTTTGAAATACTGAATATTATTACCTTAAATCTATATACTCTATAGCTTCTGTAATGCCACAATTCCTATTGGGGCTCCTTTGGGACATCCTGTTGCTGTCTTGTGTCATGGAGGTCCTGATGGCTTGAATCTATAGTTTTGTCCCCTGAATACACTCTAAAAGTTCATATATGAGTTGGATATTGGGATGGACCAACACATAGCCTTTGTTCTAGGCCTGGGTGGTAGCTGGGTTTGTTAGCCCACAAGTTTTCCCTCATTGTCACTACCCAGGGGAGTTCTCCAGCATGACCTCAGTTGGCTCATCCAATGCAGCCTGCAGCAAGGAATGAGGTCAGATCTCCTGCTCTCGGGCCCTCAGATACGGGTCACCCACACCCACACCATCAGGGCCAGTTTTGTGCAGGGAAGGTGCAACATCCTCTCTCCCAATTTCTGTAGGGGGCATAAGAAGGGGGTGGAGGCATCAGTTCTCTTTACATGGCCTCAGGGCTGCCTCACTTGTGCACCTAACAACAAGGTCAGGTGGGGGGCAAGGCCTTCTCCCCTGTGTGCTATAGCTGGTGAGGGTTACAGCTACATTCACAATAGTCATTCTTGTGACTCTGGGGTCAGCTCTCACCTGCTACAGGGTGGTTGAGGGGAGGGCAGTAAAGTAAATTTTTAAAAAGGAAGAAGTCAAATTATCCATTCCTGCAAATGACATGATCATATTCTTTTTCCCCTCCCTCCCTCCCTCACTCTTCCTTCCCTTTCCCTTCCTTCCTTCCTTCCTTCCTTCCTTCCTTCCTTCCTTCCTTCCTTCCTTCCTTTCTCTCATTCTTTCAAGGCAGGTGTCTGTGTGTAGACCCAGTTGTCCTGGAACTCGCTCTGTAGACCAGGCTGGATTGGAACTCAGAGATCCACTTGCCTCTGCCTCCCAAGTGCTGGATTAAAGGTATATGCACTGCTACCATCTGGTTTCATTATCATGTTATTAACCATGAGGCTTAAACCACAGACAAAGAACTACAGACTACTAAGGAATATAGAGAATGGGAAAAATAATTTTCCTCAGAGAAGAGCATACCAATTTGTCAGGCCTCAGCCCTGAAAATACATATCAATGACACTATACATACAGAGATGTCTGTAGGTATGTCTTTAGGGATTTAGATGTATATTCATATACATAAATATATGTAAAAAAATGAAAAAAGGACATAGGTTTGAAACAGAGCTATATGTCCACAGTAGGATTTTATATTTGTTTGTAATGAAGAATGTAATCATGTAATTTGTAGATAATACATGGGATTGAAGATCATTATACAAGATGAAATATTCCAGACTTAGGAAAACAGATATCTCATTACATGGCCTGTAGGGAGAGATCTTACGTACCCATTGTGATGACCACGCCCACTTGGGCATGATCACAGGTACAGGCACAGGTACATAGAATGTCCTGGGGTGGGCAGGGATAAAAGAGCTGGGGGGAAGGAGGTGCTCTTTCTTTGAGTTCCAGTCGAGTCTTGGAGAGGAGCGAGTGGACCTTTGGCTCTTGCCTTTCTTGGCTTCTCATGTAAGTGACTTCTCCCTCAATAAAATATCATACGACATCTCTACTTTGTGTAGCTTACTATTTCCAAGATAATGGTCACAATCGTATAAAAGATGATTCTTTTTGCATTTTATAAAACCATGATTTCTGCTCTAGAGGCTAAAATTCAGGAAGAAATTGCATATGTGATTGGAAGACATTGGAGCCCCTGCACACAGGACAGGAACGGCATGCCCTACACAGATGCTGTGCTCCATGAGATTCAGGGGGTACATCAATTTTGTTCCCATTTCCTTGCCTTGTAGTGTAACGCAGGATGTTTAGATCAATATAGATCTATTTATTTCATCTTTATTCCTCACCAGACATCTTTTCCTGTCATCAATTAAGTATTGTGATTACGGATAGCTTGACCTTCCAAAAGGGTGTCAGAATCATACCTTGGGCATCTTATTTCCCTTACCTTAAGCTCCTTTGACTGTGATTTGTTGATGAAGTTTTCTAAATGTCACATGCTTGGGTCCTCACAAACTTCTCAGTACATTGATATGTCCATACCCTTTCTGTTAATCTGTTATTAGAATCTTCTTTTAGCATCCTTTCTTTCCAATGTGTTTTACTACTCTTGTCAGTTAATCACAATTCTGTATTCCCTTCTTTCTCTATACTTTCTATTTAACTTACTTAGGAGAAATCCAATCAAACAATGTCTTTTCCTTGCTTTGGGGGAACTGATCTATACAGCTTAGTGGGTTGTGATCATACCAACACACTGGTATTGTTTTTATATTCATATTACCTTATAAAATTATTTTGAGAGTTGGTCTTATTCTGGACTTGAAAATAATATCCCAGATGTGGCTTCCTGTGTACTGGAATTTTCAGGCTTGTGCCACAATATCATATATTCCCTCTCATCTGTGAAACCTAATGCACACTGTATCTATATGATATCTTCACAACTTTTATAGTATATGTGTGAAATAGAAGGGTGTGCTACTGGGAAAGACAAGCTGACAAGAGAGAAAAATGATGAAGAATCAGATAGTGTAAATGACAATGGGAATGATTGTCAAAATACATGAGATACTTGAATGTAAATGTCATTATAAATCCTTTCATTTTTGAAATGTACATATGCCAAATATGTCTACATAAAATAATTATAAATACAACATACAGTGATCAAAGACTGTTATTTATGAAAGATTAGACAAGTTGCTAGATAAAATGTAGCAATGGGCAAGAAAGCATTTGCACAGGAGTCAGTTCATCCTTGATAAATTCCCGGAGTGATTAGTGACAAATGCAATGTTTCATGGATATCTTCTTTCTTAAAATAGAAGAAACAACGCAAAATGTGGACTAGCTGTTCTTAAAGATATTTGTTTCAGGTCAACATAACTTGATTTTCTGTGTTCTTTGACTTAATTATATGGTCTCTTTAGTAATGAGGTCTTTACATGAAATTCTTGAGGACAACTTAGAGCAATGGCTATAGCCTGTAATATATGTGGGTCTATGGGACCTCATTGATCAAAACCTCTGATAGAGGTAACTTGTACCTGGCACTGGGACTTTCATTTGTTAGCCTATGGTGTCTAATAGGGTCATTGCAACACATTATAGAGTAACACATTTAAACTCTATATGTGTATATCATGTAGAATCTTCACTTCACCTGGCTTGCTTTCATATAGATGTAAGGTGGTATGCATGTTAGTTGAACAAAAAAGGAATCACTAATCTTATCTAGCAATGAACTCATGAACTCTTGGAGCTACAATAACAAGACAGACCATTTGTGCAAGAGTGACCTAAAAACACAGTAGTAACCCATCATTTTTATGTTAGAATTTAAGGCCCATTCCATAAGATGGAACCAATACTACCTGGAAGTCTTATCAGGGCCAAGAACATGAAATTAGATAGGTTATTGATCTTAAGAGAGATCCAACTAGTAATACTCCATGAAGACATAGTATTTAACTGACTCCTACTGAAACTGTTATTATTTTTCTTATTAGCTACTTTTACTCATTATTTTTCCCTATTTATTATTATATTGTGTTATTTATTCTTATATATTTATTGCATTTTACTTTATTATTTATAATACTAATTTACTATTTTACTTATTTATTATTTATTTATATGTATTTATTATTATATTTTATACAATCAATTAATACAGACCCATGACTATTGGAGGTACAGAGAATGAGGTGGCAGAATGTTTGGTCCTAAGTGAAACAGTATTGTTTTTTGGTTTGTTGTCACAAACCCCACCTCACAAGGCTTAGTATTCTTTATAACAGAGGGGGAAGAAAGATTGTAATAGCCAAAGGTAGTAGATGATTTCAAGGAATCAATGCTTTACAGACACAATGGGCAATAGCACATATGATGCCACAGCAGTTGTACCAGGAAACATAAGATATGTTCAAGTTCAAGCCAATCAAATTTCCAGAATGTGTGTGTTGGAGGGGGTTCTCACAATGTCTCACCACCAATAGCTATTGGTAAATAACAGTGGCTAGAAAGGAGAGACTTCATTTCTCTTAACATTAGTATGTAAAGTACCACCCGACCAAGAGTATATAGGCATCACTTTTTTGGTTAAATTGGTGTGGTGGTTTGAAAGAAAATGCCCCCCAACAGAGAGTGGCACTATTAGTAGGTGTGGCTTTGTTGAAGTTTGTGTGCTTTGTTGGAGGAAGTGTGTCACTGTGGAGGTGGAATTTGTGGCCTCGTGTGCTCAAACCATGCTCAGTGTCACAATTTACTTCCTGTTGCCTATGGATCAAGATGTAGAATATTCAGTTCCTTCTGCAGTACCATGTTTGCCTGTATGCTGCCATGGCCCATGGTAATGACAAAGGACTAAGCCTTTGATACTGTAAGCCATCCCCAATTAAATGTTTTCTTTTATAGGAGCTGTCATGGTCATGATGTCTCTTCATAACAACAGAAACCCTATCTAAGACAATGGGCAAGAAAGATAAATGAGGACACAGTGATGGACGCATATGGAAAGAGGGAAGGACTGTGAGGACCTAGGGGAGGTGTGGATATGATCAAAATGCAATGTATGAAGTTCAAGGAATGGGTAAAAATGATTTTGAAAATCCTTCCCCCTTCTCAAGGTATTTACTTCTTGCATTCCAGGAGAGGAAAAATCTGAATAGAGTTTCATCACAGAAAAATGAGACACCGAGCAGGAACAAGCATTTTTCAGGTGTAAAATCATGCTGCTTTTAAAGTATACTGAACTTGTTGTCACTGTAATATAGTGTGTCAATTCATGGAGTTTTAGAGCAATGTGAGTCAGTCAGCAAATTATTGATTGCTTCGCAGTAGATAGAGTTCCAAGTGTTTGAGTCAATAAGTTTAGAGATTTCGAAAGCAAACTTTTCAAAACTCCTATGTAATAATTACCATGGAAACATTATTGACTAGATCCATGTTTATTTATTGCCACTGATTATAGTGTATATTGACCTATGAGGCAGAGTCTGTAAATATTGATGAATATAATTGAATGCAATGATGTTTTGTGCAGGGCAAGAGGTGAGACTCAAGTGGTATGGCCTCCAGTCCTTCTCTATGATCTGTAGTGTAGGGGGCCATAGGAATGTAGTGACAACTAGTATTTAGCAAGTTGACCCACCAGAAGATGTTTCCTGATGGGGAAGCTCCACCTGGTAAGGTCATGGGGTTATTGACTATAGATAACTGCTTGTCTCTGTACTTTCTATCATAAGCCACCTCATTTTTTCCCTAAGAACAGCTTTGGGTGTATTCTTACAGCTTGTGTATTTATCTTGTATAAATATTCCATCTATTGGGCATACATATATCTGTGGATGGTCAGGGAAATGACCATAGGATGATCAGGAAGATGGTTATAACATTCTCAGTTACAACGACAGCCTTTTACACAGACACCTAACTTTAGACTTCAGAATAGATTCAAAGCAAGCTGGTTGCCCATGGAGACAAATATCTGGTTGCCCCTAGAGACAAATACATGAGATCATTTTCCCAGGTGTTGTTTTACTGATTCAGGGTCAGAGTTTGAAGCAACTTTCGTCTGCATCTGCTCCATACCACTCAAGGTCCAGCTAATTAATCGTTACTGTTAAGTCTTGAATTCCAAAGTCATTTTCTATCTGGGAACCCTCACCAGCTTGCAGCTATGTGCACGGGCCAATGTGACATTCTGAGCCTAAGAGAACTACCTGATTTATTGTGTGTTATGAGAATGGGTTGGGCCCTGAAAATGTAACATAATTGTCCAGAGTTTGGCTGTGAAGGAGCAGGGACATTGGTGGTGTGGAGAAGGATGGTTGTGTAGAGCTATGTGAGAGCTGCTGTGGAATATGAAGTGTGTGTGTGTGTGTGTGTGTGTGTGTTTGTGCGTGTTCTGAAGAAGAAGCATGAGAGAAGTGTGAGGAAGTGAGTGTGTGAAAGAGCGAGTGATACAGCAGATTCTCTGAGGATAAGGTTTCAGACCCAGGAGAATGTAAAGAAGCTGTGGAAGCTGCTAGACACCTGCAAGGGGAGGCGAGGAAGTTCCAGGGAGAAGCTGAGTGGAGCCATGAGGAAACAGAATGGTAAGTGTCATGGTAACAAAAATTAAAATCCAGAGTATCCCCAAGCAGACTGAGAGACTTGCCAAAGAGAAATGTGCCAAATCACAGAGGAGATTGTGATCTTTCTCCTTTCCACATGATGGGAGCCTGTAGGTTAAGAGGAAGCTTTCTGTCATACTTGTGAGACTTTATCAGTAACAGCAGATACACAAAGATCTCTCTAATGTCACTTACCTAGTAGAAGGGGAGATATAAGTGGTTAGAGCCAGTAGAGGATAAAACAGCTGGAGAGGTACAAGTGTCTTAGGGAGCAGGGCCATGTCAGGAGAGGGGAAGGGGAGGGAAGAGAAGACAGAGATTGAGGTGCAGCAGTTAAGATGGCAAAGTTACAAAAGGGGTAGGTAATTAAAGTGGCTGAATTATATATGGAAGAACCCTTTGGAGACCAGCTCCTGGTTTAGAGAGTTCAAGTTGGCAATGGGTATGATATCTGTACCCTGTAACAGGTAGGGACTGAGGGATGCTGGGAGACCCTGGCAGGCAGATTTGCTGTGATACATTAAATAGGCACCTCAGCCATTTTGAGACTTAACAAGAACCATATTTTATACCATTTTCATCTGTTCAAAGATCACATAGCTTATATGAATATATGCATGTGCACTGATACTGATGTGTGTGCACACATATATTTGCACTTGCCAATTGACGTCTCCAGGCAATGAGAAAACACAAGCCATGGGCAGGGGGAAGGAAATAGTATCCAAAAGGGAGTGGTGAATGTAGGCTGTGGGGTGATTTCGGAAAGAATGCAACATGAGCCAGGCATCTGAACTTCAGACAGGAATGAAGCAGAGTTGGAAAGGGGGAGGCACTGTAACTAAACCCCTGGCCACTGGGGTAATATTGATGTCCTTTGGGGGAACCAGAGATTTTAGCTTGAACTTCTGTAAAATGGTAGTCAGGAACAGAAAAAGCTCCATTTGAGCCAGGCCCTCTCCTGCACAAATCCGTTTTCCTGTGGGGAAAAGAGACAAAGAAGGTAACCATGGCTTGTATGTAAGTGAGTGTGAGATGCCTTTTGTTTGTAACCCAAACAACAGAGCTAAGAGTAACTGCTGAGTTACCAGATGGGTAGTTAAATGTATGGATGAGTGAGAGGATACATAGTTAAGAAAAAACACAATAGTGGGTAACATTTAAGTAACATAAGATCTTAAGAAATGAATCAAGCAAAAATCCTTATCAGCTTGATTACTCACATCTGTCATCGGAACATCTGTGAGGCTGAAGGATGGGGATTATGAGTTTGTTATCAAAATACTTAGTGTGTGATCATCCATGTCAACATATTCAGCACACATACTACATTTGTGAAGATTCAATATTCATGACAAGTATCTTGATTGTTGGAGCAGCAGGGAACCCTGTGATCACCTTGTGGTGTGCTGCCAGATCTACAAGGATTCCATGATCTCATGGTGATGAAATACTTTCTTACATTCTGAACTAAGAGAAAAACATTTGGCTTCAGCAGTTCATTACTTTTTAAATAAGTAATTATGTGTATATTTTGTATATGTATGGGAGAATTGGCATGTCAAAGTTAGTTTTCCAGAGTGCCCAGAAGATTGCTCCTGATCTCCTGGAATTAGAGGTATGACTGTGAACTGCTCAAGATGGTGCTGGGCATTGACCTCATGTTTGTTGCAATGGCAGCAAGTTATCCTAACTGGCTAACCATTTCTCCAGCCATTCTTTACAATGGAAAAAAAGGCCTCCGCTTAAAATTCCATCAAGAACTCGGAATGTGCTCACACTGTCTTCCCCACAACTGAGTAGCAATTAGCTGTTTATAGTTACTCAGAGACAGAGAATAAGTTTTCATCATGGATGTGACTTTGGGTGTGTTACCAGTGCTTGTGAGAATGTCACTAGAAGCAAAGAGTGCTCTCAGTAGGTTAAAAATTAAGTAAATGAATAAGGGGGAAAGAATGGTGCTGGGAGTGAAGCAAAGAATGGGAGGGGATAGTGGGGGCAGTTTTCATCAAAAGACATTGGATACATGTTTGAAAATCAAACAATAGACTCTCTGGGATCTCCAGGCCCGCCGACTGCAGCCAGCTCAACTCGTCCAGGAGCCTGTTAAGAGAGCAGGTCTACTCCAGCCCCCACTCAGGGCAGAGGGCTGAGGTGAGCTCCAGGCCCCCCTCTCAGTTACTACCTCCTTCTACTCTCTCTCCCTGGGATCTCCAGGCCTGCAGACTGCAGTCAGCTCTACTGAGGCTGAGCAACCATGAGTCTGCTGAGAGAGCAGGTCTACTCTTTTCCCCACTCAGGGCAGAGAGAAGAGGGCAGACTGCAGAGGGCAGAGCTCCCACCCACAGGGAGAGGGAGTGCCTCAGACTTGTCTGTACCCACCTTGAGACCGGTCAGTGTACTGGACCTGCTTGCACCCACTAGAAGAGAACCTTGGACCGGTACCCACCAGGAAAGGAAGAGACCCCACTAGTACCCACTGAAAGAAGGGGTGGGAAGATGACAATATAAGAACAAATTAAATGACAGAAAAACCAATAACATGTCACCAGAATCTAGGTGCTGTACACCAGCAAGATCTGAACATCGCAACACAGATGAAGCAGGAGAGAATGAACTTAAAAACAACTTCATGAAGATGATAGAGAAAATCCTTTAAAGAAATGGAAGAAAAAACAAACAAAGTTCAAGAAATGGAGGAAGAGACAAACCAAAAATTGCAAGAAACAGTTCAAACAGTGTAAGGTTTGAAAGTTGAAATAGAAACAATAAAAAAAACAAAAGGCCCAGGATAGCCAAAACATCCCTATACAGTAAAGGAACTTCAGGAGGCATCACCATACCTGACTTCAAGCTCTATTATAGAGCTATAGTCCTGAAAACAGCTTGGTATTGGCACAAAAATAGGCAGGTAGACCAATGGAACCGAATCGAAAGCCCTAATTTTAACCCACACACCTATGAACACCTGATTTTTGACAAAGAAGCTAAAACTGTACAGTGGAAAAAAGAAAGCATTTTCAACAAATGGTGCTGGCATAACTGGGTACTGGTATGCAGAAGACTGCAGATAGATCCATGTTTATCGCCTTGTACAAAACTTAAGTCCAAATGGATCAAAGATCTCAACATACATCCAGCCACACTGAAACTTTTAGAAGAGAAAGTGGGAGATACTCTTCAACGAGTTGGTACAGGAGACCAAAATGGACTCAAAGATCTCAACATACATCCAGCCACACTGAAACTTTTAGAAGAGAAAGTGGGAGATACTCTTCAACGAGTTGGTACAGGAGATCACTTCCTAAACATAACACCAGTGGCACAGGCACTGAGATCGACAATTAACAAATGGGACCTTCTGAAACTAAAAAGCTTCTGTAAGGCAAAGGACACAGTCAAAAAGACAAAAAGGCAGGCCACAGAATGGGAAAAGATATTCACTAACCCTACATCTGACAGAGGGCTAATCTCCAAAATTTACAAAGATCTCAAGAAACAAGTCTCCAAAACACCAAAGGATCCACTTGAAAGGTGGGTACAGAGCTAAATAGGGAATTCTCAGTAGAGGAGGCTAAAATGGCCCAGAGACACTTAAGAAAGTGCTCAACATCCTTAGCCATCAGGGAAATGCAAATCAAAACAACTCTGAGATACCATCTTACTCCTGTCAGAATGGCTAGAATCAAAAACACGGAAGACAATTTATGCTGGAGAGGATGTGGAGAGAGAGGAACACTCCTCCACTGCTGGTGGGAATGCCGACTCATACAGCCTCTTTGGAAATCAGTATGGAGATTCCTCAGGAAAATGGGAATTAATCTACCACTAGACCCAGCAATTCCACTCTTAGGCATTTATCCAAATGAGGCAGGTTCATACAACAAGGGCATCTGCTCCACTATGTTCATAGCAGCATTGTTTGTAATAGCCAGAACCTGGAAGCAACCTAGATGTCCCTCAACTGAAGAGTGGGTAGAGAAAATGTGGTACATTTACACAATGGAGTATTACTCAGCAGAAAAAAAACAATGGAATCTTGAAATTCGCAGGGAAATGGATAGCACTGGAAGAAACCATCCTGAGTGAGGTAACCCAGTTGCAAAAAGACAAACATGGTATGTACTCACTCATATATGGATTTTAGATATGGATCAGGATAGTGCCAGTCTGCACTTCCACAGATAGAGAGTCTGGGAAACAGGAAAGAACCTAAAAGATATGCATATATGCATAGTACCCAAGAGAAGAGGATGGAGACAAGATCCTCTGAATGGATGGGGAACACGGCGATGGGTGGGGGGGAGTGGGACCTGGGAAGAATAGAGGGGGTAAAGAGGAAGGGAGTTGGTCATGGGGGAACAGGAAGTTGAGGGGGTGGGGGTAGAATAGGGGGAAGAGGGAATCATAGGATCGAAGACAGATCAGGCACCAGAGTGACCTCGAGTGATCTAAAGGTATAACATCAATTGGCAAGCTAAGCAATAGTGGAGGGACCACCTCGAATGCCCATTCCTGATAATGAACTTGATGTCTATAACCATCCAGGAACCTTCATCCTGTGACTGATGGAAGCAGAGGCAAACACACAACTAATCACTGAACTGAACCCAAGGAACCCAGTGACAGAGAGAGAGGAGTGATGAGCAAATTGGCAAAGAATGGGCTGGCAAAACCAGCAGAGACAGCTGATCTGAACAGGGGAGTGCTCTTGGACCCCAGACCGACAGTGGGGAGGCCAGCATGGGACTGATCTGGACCCCCCCAAATGTGAGTGTCAGTGAGAAGGCCTGGGCAACCTATGGGGCCCTGAGCTGTGGATCAGTGTCTATCCCTGGTATACAAACTGTCTTCATGTGCCTATAGCACAAAGAGAGATGCTCTCTCAGCCTGGACTCTTAGGGGAGTGCCTTGACCCTACCAAGAGTAAAATGACAGACTCTAGATATCCTCTATGTGGAAGGATTTGGCAATAGGGTGGGAGGGAGGGGGGGGAAGGGGAGTGTGGGAAGAGGGGAGGGAGAGGGAACTGGGATTGACATGTAAAACAAGCTATTTAAAATTAAAATAAAAAGTGATAAAAAACAGTTTGAGGGAATTCTAAAAATAGAAAAGCTGGGTAAGTGATCAAGAACTACAGATATAAGCATAACCAACAGAATGCAGGAGTTAGAAGAGAGAATCTTAGGTGTTGAAGATTCACTAGGAGAAATAGATTCATCGACAAAAGAAAATCTTAAATCCAATAAATCCCTAACACAAAATATCCAGGAAATACGGGACACTGTGAAAAGAGCAAACCTAAGAATCATAGGGATAGAAGAAGGTGAAGAAGGTACACAGCTCAAAGGTACAGAAAACTTATTCAATAAAATAGAAGAAAAAATTCCCAGCCTAAAGGAAGACATGGAAATGAAAGTACAAGAAGCCTATAGAACACCAAATAGAGTGGACCACAAAAAAGTTCCCTCACCACATAATAATAAAACCCCCAAACATATAGAATAAAGAAAGAATATTAAGAACAGCAAAAGGAAAAGTTCAAGTTAACCTATCACAATCACACCTGACTTCTCCATGGAAATTCTGAAAGCCAGAAGGTCCTGGATAGCTATTCTACCAATACTAAGAGACCATGAATGCCATCCCAGACTACTATACCCAGCAAAGATTTCAATCACTATGGGTGGAGAAAACAAGATATTCTATGGCAAGACCAGATTTAAACAATGCATATCCACTGATCCAGCCCTACAGAAAGTACTGGAAGGAAAACTTCAACCTAAGGCAGGTAACTATGCTCACAAAAACATAGGCAATAGGGAATTCAACCTTACCAAAAGCAACAATAAACAACAGGGTAAATCCACAAACAATAACACCACCACCAACAAATAAAAAACAAACAAGAATTAACACCCAATGGCCCTTAATCTCCCTCAGTATTAATGGTCTTAATTTGCCTATGAAAAGACACAG